AAAAGGGCCAGTGACCATATTGGCAGGTCATGTGAGTAAGCCAAACAAATGAAGCCAACTGAAAGCTTTCGGCCTTTATCCAAGCACCTTTCCACGATCCCTGTACTGGACCGGAATTAATGGAGGGCCAAAAGAGAACGATAGTAGGATAGCAAGGGCAGGGAACGGGGGGGAAGGGACAATTTAGTCAGCATGGACAAACCTTCTTGTATGTATTGCCTTGCAGCAAAGCTGGAGCCCCAGCGACCACGTAAAAGCGATCTCTCCATCAAGCCGTGAAGGCGGAAATCTTCCGTAGCACCTCCCCTACGGAGGGAGTAGGGCCTGAAAGAGGCCTTCAAATGAAAGAACTTTAGGAGTTGACGAAAGCCCTCTCGAAATTGCTCTTTTGATTCCCCCCAAACATGTTCATGACGTGAAACTCCAATATCAAATAGTGTCCGAGCGATCATCATGGTGGGGACATGATCAATGACAACATTCTCATCGACTTGTCTGCGCAGCCCGGTTTTGGTGTCTCCCAGCCGCACGACCATGTTCTCTTTTCCTAGCAAGAGGTGTTTGAATTTGACGTCAAAGATCTCGCCAGTCCTCAGCATTCCCCAAAACCCCAGGCAGAGGCACAGGGCCAGCCTGAGGTCCTCGAGATCCACACAACGCCCAACTAATGCTTCCGCAACATTGACAGGAAATGGGGGTGCCTGTTTGGGTTTTTCCAATTTTCTCCAAACACCATAAAGTTTCCATGCTCCACGAATTTTACCTCGGCTCCATGGGAGATAATGGTGCAGTCCTGAAAGGGCATCCGCTACGGAAGTATATTGGAAGTCAATCCAAGCGATGAGAAAATCATCAATATCGTCCTTCGTCTTTTCAAGAGCGGGCAAGAGGGCGGAAACAGCAACGAAATACCTGATTCTGGTTTTCAGTGTCACCGCTCGGTCATGAAGACTTAAACCCTTGCGGCGTCGCCGCCTTTCTTGTCGTAAAAGCTCAGGCGCGGCTCGCGGCATCGGTAGGATTCTCGCAGGAATCAACGTGGGCTAAGTGAAGGAGTGAGTGGCTCACCAAAAGTAAGGAGTTGATCTTCCGCAGAATATACCTGAGCTTGGCGCTTCCTGTCCTACCCTTAGAAAGTATAGAGAGGGCCACATAGCTGTCGGTGAGGTGAAACATCCGCCGATTTACCAACTGCCTGTTCATCACTTTCCAAAGAATAGTGAGGTATATTGCTCGAATTTCAAGAGCGTTTATATGCTCAGTTTGACTCCAGCGCGTGCTAAACACGGCGGTCCAGTTCCACCAACTGGCTTGAACCGATTGCCGCGGCAGAGCGCTCGGGTTCATAACTTGTCCTGTGGTAATACGAATGTCTGACCCGGTGTGCTTTACGCGGGCACAGAGATGATCATTCAGCTGCTTAACCGTTCGGGACTCAGAGAAACTAGGGAAAAGGCAGCCAAACTGAAGTGGGCAGCTCAAGGCCGAGTGCAGGCCAGCGCCCGGGGGGGAGACCCATGCGTGAAAATAGAAGGTCCGGCTTAAAAATACCAGTGTACTTGGCAACCGCAGCACCAGCAAATAAGACAAAAGACCAAATAGAAAAACTGTCCCCCACTAAGCTGCACCTTTCATCTTCAAATGACGTGGGTTGTCCTTTCGCCTCCGAGGCAGACATGCAGAACATTGTATGGGATCTGCCGTAGCCCATGAGTAGCTCACGCTCATCGGCATTCAAGAGTCTGCCTTCTCCAGCTGGGTTGTAAACTACATACTGGGGCTTGTACTGATAAGGAGGTCGCTCTCCCACCGGCACCGGGTACCAGCGTCAGTTCGCTCTATTCCAGCCGGCCTAGGGGGAGGCCTTTCACGCCTGATTGCTTTCATAAATGTGGGATAGATAACCTCAGGGGCTGCTTGCTCCCACCCCGGGGTGAGCCACTGTGCGGGGGCTGGCCATTCTCCTGCAACCCAAACTTCCTTGTACCCAGGCTTTTCAGTGATGTGGAGGCCCTCCAGATTTTCCACACTCATTGTAGTCCAACAATATCGAGGTCTTGAGTTCGGAACTTGCTCCTTGGGATCCACCTTGTAGGGCAGGACACCTAACATGCGACTAATTTCATCCCTGGCACTGTAGTCCATGCTAGACACGTTTTCCACAAAGAAGTGGAAAGCAGCTTGGGGAAAAAGAGACTTGGTGTCATCAAAAATCCGCACGGCCTCACGAATCAACCCGCTGGACTTTCCTTCCAAATTCAATCTGTTCGCCCTAACGCTGCTGAGGTCCACACAGGGAAATCCTGCCCACACATGAACTTCTTCAAAGTCCTCCACATGTTCTAACAATTCTCGGAGCCTGTCCAGGGTCAAAGTCTTAACGTCATCCCAGAATATCGTGTCCGGCCATCTCCGAGCCATGGTTCGGTTTGCAGGTTTGTGTATGTCGCATGCCAAATAGGCTTTCACCTTCACGCCTGCCACGTCATAGCACCTTGCTGCGCCCCCTATCCCGTTGAAAAGGGATATCACCAATACTGGGATGGCCAAAGGGAGGTTCCTCAGATTCTGAGATTCCAAAAACCCTTCTCCTTCCGTTGAGAGACTTCGCGAGATGGCAATGGCACCTCCTTTCTGGCTCGCGTCACTGCAGGTAATCACCTCATCGATCCGGGCTCCTAGCCAGGTGTGGAAAAGGGGGGTCCCTAAAGGAGCTCCTGCCTGACATCCTCAATCTGCCTAGCACGGGGGCGCTTAGAGCTGATGTAGGCCCAGACAGCATCAAACTGGCACATACCCGGCCGGCGGAATTGCAAAGCGAAGCACCACCGTCCCATCACGATCTGCAGCTTCTTCTTGGAGATGCTGGGCTGGTGGATAAGCCACAAGGTGCTCTTGATGATCTTAATCATCCTTTCACAGCTAGCGCCAATCCACTGACCGGAGCCACCTATAAAGGCACCTAGCTCTACTCCACTCTCTGCGGCCACTACTGACTTGTCAGCTGACACTACAATACCTGCCTCGCCCCAAAGCGCCTCTGCCGAGCGTTGCAACTCAATGAGCTCTTTCGGGTGTTCTTCAACTACCTTTGCACCCCCAGCAAAGTTGTCAAGGTAGACATGCCACCAAGGACGGCCTTGACGCATACCTTCAGAGGTACTGTTGATCATCCAGCTGGGCAGGGGGCAGGTCTTGTGTATTTGTCCTTGGTCATCCAATCCACCTTGAAGCAAGACACTTTCTGCGATCTCTTGCATCACGCCCACAGCTGAGCTCCAACCCATCGGGAGCACGGCACATGACAAGTACCACTTGTCTTCCGAGTTAGACCTTGCCTCAACGCCTAACGTGGAGGAGTCGAAACAAAGGTTGAAGCACAGAAGTCTGCTCCACTCAATTGGCATGCCGAAAAGGTAAAAAGCACAAGTCATGTCTGACTGAGCTAGTCGGACTGTTTCGCCCTCCTCCAACACAACGTTCAGCCACTGGGTAATGTTAGGTAACTTGGCGACTCTACCAGGGATGACACGTAGGACAGAGTTGATAGGGACCAAATTCATGATAACCCTGAGCACGCTCTCGCCACTCTCCAGCAACTTGCTCTTAGGTACTCCAAACAGTCCGTTCAGAACCTTCTGGCCTCTATAGGTGACGACCTCAGAAGAGTGGGTCCAACGACAAATGCCTCGTCGCACCAGCTCCATCGCCACAGTAAGAGCCTCTTCTCGCACTATATGAACCTTTCCTTGCAACCTTGGGAGATCTTGCCCAACATCCGGGCACAAGCAACCGAGGGGATTCAGCAAAAGCTCACGTGTCCTGCCTCCAACCCACTTGACAGCTTCAATTGACCCTCCGTGACCTTCAGGAGGAAGTCCAGGCTTAATTCTGGCTAGGCTCAACGCTTCAGCCTTGCAAATCTCTTCTCCGCTGTAGGACACGGTTCTCTTCTGAAAATCTTCTTTGATTTCTGAAACCCCCCAAAGCACGTGACTGTCATCCATCAAAATCCTGTCAACAGCAGCCCGGATCGAGCTCATCAAATCACGTTGCACCGCCGTAGGACGTGAACACGCACGGGTAGCATTACCACAGCCTGAATGATTAGCAAACAGAACTACTAATTCACACCAGCAGGCCCTAGCAAGGATTGCCCGACATTGAGCCCCCTTCACAAAGGACTCAAAATCAGAAAACTCACCGACGTTTGACAAAATCGGGAAAACAAAAGAAGGGAGAGGGAAAACCTGACGTTTAGAGTGCAACACTCGTGATAGCCGGCCAGAGCTAAAACACACTTTTTTTCAGCGCAGCAAAAGCGCGGAAATAGTGCCAAGGGCGACCTCCATCGATCGCCGGGCTCCGGAAAAGCTCAAAATACATGCTGAGCCCCAGCGCGGACAGATCTCCAGCGGAGGCTAGCATTTTGTCCAACCAAGAGCGCTTCAAATGCCGCTCCATCACTCCTCCTTTCCCTTGTCTCCCTTGTCGGAACTGTTCTCCTTCTGCCCCTTCGGCTTCTGCCACCAATTGCTCCACTGGCCTTTCTTCGGGGAGCCCCTGCCCCCCCAGTTCTGCCTTCGGTCTTCTTTGCCGTCCTTGCTGCCTTTGCCTCGCTTTCCTTTTTCCTGCCAGCGATCGGGTCGACCCCAGCCGGCATCTCCTTTGCCTCCTTTGCTGCTTCGTGACCTGCTGTCCTGGTCGGTGACCTTCTCCATCAGCTTCGAAAACTTCCTGGCCGCTAACGTCACCGCCGGTCCCGCCGCTGTGGCATGGTCTGGTGAGAATATTTCGAGATGCCGGGCAGCGGACCAGTTCTGGTCCAGCCCCGCTTGCTCGAGGGCCAGCCAGCGAGCCGCGAGGGCATCCCCCAGCCGGCCCAGTCGGCCAACGCGCAACAGGTCGATGCAATTGGCTATCAAGAACAACTCGCGACCGTCTCGAGTCTGGGAGCTCACACCTCCGGAGTGGGTCAGGGAGTGCCAGCCCGTGCGACACCGGGTTCTCGTGTTCTGCAGCGCCACCTAACTCGTTGAGGCGTTGTTCTATCTGCGTGATGAGAAGCTCCAGCACTGACCCCTCCGCTCTCTCGCTTTTCTTTTTGAGAGGGGGCAAAAGGGACTTTTCCTCCTCTGAGCTGTCCCCGCTCTCGCTGCAGCTTCCTGACTTCTCGTCTTCTCCTGAGCTCCCTGAAGAGTCCCCGGAGTCGCCGCCATCGGGATCGTCGCCCCTCTTCCTCTTCTTTTCTTTCTTTTTCTTTTTCTTTCTCTTCTTGCCGCCTAGTAGCACTTTCAAGGCATCCAATGCCTTGTCCTTCTTCTTTCGTGGCCTCCTCTTCTTGTCTTGAAGTGCTTTGGCGGCTTGAGATGTCAAGGTGGCGACCACTCCTCCATTCTGCTGCCTCCTCAACCTCAAATTCTTCATAATACCTTCTCTTGGCTCCCTGACCGCGATCTCGGTGCCGGCTCGGCGAGCGCCAGCGGCCTCCCGAGTGGTGCCAATCTCCGAACTCGTAGTCAACCCGGCCGGAGCAGGTGAAGCATCTCCATCCTCCTCGAACACCTGGTCTTCTCCAGCGATCCTGACTCGTCGACCAAGGCCCTGGTTCTGCTGCTTTTGACGGACCTTTTCCAGCCTGTCCCTGAGGATGCCAGGCGCGGTACGGCCCGAAACTGCCTTTTGGCCCTCTCCTGGGGCCTTCCGCTTTGAAGCCCGAGCGCCAGGTGGTTTTCCTCCTTTGCCTTTTGTCAGGGGATCCTTCACGCCCCTCTCCTTTCCTGAGCCCTCTAGCTCGACAACCTCGCCTAAGTCCTCGGCTAGGAGCGCGTCCTCGATCTCGTCTCCAGTGCCTCCTGGAGCTAATACCTGCTTGAGCAGCTTTCGACCTGCAACCGTGAGTCGACCTGAGGGGAACTCGGATCCATTCCATAGCTCCAGTCGACGCACATGGAAAACTCCCTCTTCTATCGCGCACGGTCCCTCGTTCAAACAAATGTGAAGAGCACCAGCGCGCCGATTGAAAAGACTGCTGAGCGTTGGGACAACATCGTCTCGACTGGCCCCAATCGCACGTACCTGTACCAACATACTGGCATCTGATGCAAGGGTTGAGCCCAGCACCAAGAAAAAGCCTTCCACATTGTCCTGACCAACCACCTCATAGGGCACGGCAGTTACCAGCACATTGCCCGGCTGAGGTGCGAACATATTCCACCTTGAAAAATCCCGGACATCGTAGACCCCGAAAACGTCGTCTCCGTGACCAGGAACTCCAGCTTCGTCGCCTGCCCTCATTTCTTCCTTCCCCGGGGGGGGACCCCAGGAATCGCATCCTCCCTTGGGGCTGTTGAGTCAAACTCAAAATACGAGTTGTCCAAACTTCAATGGATCGTGAGGAATGGGTTCTCGTCTGCTCGATATAGCCGCTTGTGCTTTCTACCTGCCCTGTGAGTCTTGTCTCTCTTTCTCTTCTTCTTCTTGAAGCCGTCTCCTCGACGATCGCGTCCTCGATGTCGAACTGGGTGCTCACCTTTGGGGTGTCTATGACCCCTCGAAGAAGTTGCCGCCTCCTCACCGGTGGGCACGGGCACGGACCCAGCCTCACCAGCGGTATTCTCAACCTTCTCCTGCTTGACCTCCTCAGCCGGCTCTGCAGAGCGACGAGCAGCGGGCGCCGCCTCCGCGGACAGTCCCTCTGTGCTCACAGCCCTGGTTGGGTCCTGTATTATAGTGGCCTCCGAGGCCTCACCAGAGTCGTCCTCGTCAGACTCGTAGGAACTCTCCTCGTCCTTGTCGGCCTTCTCCTCTGTAGCCGGTGGGATCTCAGGCCGGGGAGATCGCACCAGCGGAGCCCGAGGATCCTTCGGCTCGGACCCAGCGCCAGCCGTAGGAGGGGGGCGCTCCGGAGTGAGAGGCCGGGTCTGGCCTCGTGCAGCCGGCGCCACGGGTGGAGAGACCCGAGTGACGCGTAAGGCGCGCACTTGGCGGACCGCGCTCACCACTATGTCCGTGGCGACCGCACGGAGTCCGGGGTGGCTCCAGGAAAACGAGAGTTCTGACCCGAGAGCCTCCCACCCGGAGCACCCCAAGCACCAAGCGTCGCCAGCCGCTGGCGCGGCGCGGCGACACTTCGCGCAGAGTGCCATGCGCCGCGTAGAGACCCTACACGAGCCCGTGGCCGCAGGAGTTTCGTGCAAATATTCTCACCTACGGCAGAAGTCATATCACAATGATTCACAATGTTCAAACCAATGGATATTAAAAATTGCCCCAAGTAAGTTGCCACACTCATTTCCCAGAAACCGACCAGTAGAAAGGTGAAGCGTCCGGAGGCACGGAAGATCCCGTGCGGCCCAATTCCACAGGAAGGAGTCACAGATATTTTGTCCTAAGGATCTTGGCCTGCCAAATGTTCGACACCTTTTGACAGCTCACCTTCAGTATAAGTATAAGCTCTCTATTGCATGTGTCTCCAGCCAAGGAACGTTTTGGCCCATGTCTTCATCCACAATGGCATGCAAGTTGTCCTCCTGCAATACAGAATGACTGGCACTGGTGCTGATGCCGAAACGTGTTGATAGCTGATAGGTTCTCATGTTTTCTCCCGCCGCGGGTTGATTTGGGAAGTGACACTTCTACTCTGAGGATCCTGTCGCAGTTCATCGATCCTCTCTTCTAGCAGTCTAATCAAAGCACAATCCAAACCTTTATCTACTTCCCCCACAACCCCCCCCCACGATCCCCCTTAGACAAGTCTCTCCACGCAAAAAAAAAAAAAAAGTGACACACACAGCTTCAAGCACACACATCGACCCCTGCCCACCTGCCCACACTCTCCACCTGCATTCGACCCATCAACTCGGTGCCTGGATGATGCTCTTTGGCACCTTCAAGGTGTGTAGATCGAAGTTGCCGATGCTCGTCACCGCCTCGTCGCGGAGCTCCGGAGCTCTGATCCCTCGGGGATCCCTCGCGGATCCTCCGTTCCTCTTGGGAAAGACGCCAGGCCAAGAGCTTCGATCTAGGTTGGGGGGCCATCGCTACTAATTAGGTTGGAGGCCAGCTCGTTCCAACGCCAAGAGCTCCAGATGTGGGCCCTGATGTGACCACGGCCGGTTTGGGTGTGAAGGACGCGCGTGAGTACTACAGCAGCGTCCAGCGCCTCATCTGGACACCGGCTGAAGAGTTGGGAGCATCAAGTCATATCCCAGTGTTCATGTCTCGAATATTTATATCCCATTACCAGTACCAGTGGATGCCTTTCTCAAAGACTTTACTCGTCTACACGGCCACACTCTAATGCTGTCTACTACCCACATCCTTGTTCGGTTCCCCACATCCTGGTCTTCCCCGCATCGTTGGGTCCCGTTCATGTCCGCCAATGACCGGAGGCAACCGAATGACCGGATGCAATCGGAGGCCCATCCGAAGGGTAAAACACCACTGGAAAGACAAGAAAGTGGTGGGTGCGGCAGCCGTGCCTCTGGTGCTTAGCTGCGAAACGCATCGATTGCAATGGGTGTAGCAAAAACAGGAGTGACCTGGTCCTCAGAATTTTTTGGATGATGGATGCTTCATGATGGTTCACAGGCACCCCTGCCTGGTAACCCCCCCCTTCATTGCCCAAGCACTCCTTGAAATTTGCCATATTTGCTTTTTTACCGTCACACATGGACTGCCTGGGTTATGGAGAGCTGCTTGAGTGCTGCTTGCTCTCACCTGCCACCGGCCGCCACCTGCCTCGACCACGGCCAAGCGCACCCGTGCATCAGGGTCGGCCAGATACGGCGCCAAGGACCTAGTGGTTGGTTCGTTCGCGGGCGGACACCGCCGACCGGACACCCCCACCCATTGTCTCCCCACCGAAGCGACGCGGGCGGTGTCTGTTTCTTCGATGCACGGTGCGGTGGATCAGGGTGATCCCCGCCAAGACTTGGGTGTTCGACCCTGTTCTCCGCCCGACCAAAAGAACACTCGGCTGTCTCGGGACACAGATCTCCTACCAGGTGGTTTCTGGGCCGTTACCAGCAGCAACCACCTCTTGGAGGGTCTTTCGGCCTTTTTGATGCGTTTTCTTCGGGTCGTTCGCCACCAGCACCGGAGCCCTGCTGTTGAAGATGTTAAGTTGCTTGAGTTTAGTGTTTTTGCTCGCAAGAAGTGTTTTGCACCAATGTTGTTTGGAAAAAATGAAAGAAGTGTTTTGGTGTTTCCGTGGCCAAGTCTTAAAACACTTCCACAACCAATAACCATTCGACCCTTCTTCTCACCCTCAATACCCTGAAACACTACAGCCATCAGTCACAAATTCCCAAAGCGCAAGCACCAAATGCCGTTTTTCTTTTAACAAAAAAATGCAAGCAGTCTCACTGATCCAAAGATCAGCTCTTCTTGAACAGTTTTCGCAGGTCTTCAAACAAACTTCCTACAAAGTGTTTACAAAGTTTTGGATCTTTACAAAAATTGACAAAGTTTTGGAATTACAATTTTTTACCGAATTTTTGCATTACAAAGTTTTAACAAAGTCTACAAAGTTTATAAAAATAGAAATAACAAACTTCACAAAGCTTTGGAAACTTACAGTACATTAAATTCTATGAAGTTTTTACAAAGTATTGAACCTTTAGATATCTGAACAAAGCTTTGGACATTTATCAAGCTTTGAACAAGTTTTGGCATTTTACAAAGTTGTTATCAAGTTATTGAGTTTGAACGTTTTTACAAAGCTTTTACAAAAGTTTTTGATGCTTACAAACTTTCTACAAAGTGTCGGATTTTTTCAATCTGTGTCAAAACTTTGTAAACTTTATTCTTTGAAAACTTTGTAAGAACTTTGTAAACTTTGTAAATACTTTGTAAATTTGTAAAAGCTGTGTAAGCTTTGTAGAAACTTTGGTGACATTCTAAAACTTTGTAAACTTTCAAAACTCTGCAACAACTGTGTAAAGATTGAAAAAACTTCGCAAACTTTGTCAAAACTTCGTAAACTGTTGTTAAAATTGTAAACTTTTGAAACACTGAAACACTTTAAACTTCGTAAACCTTTGTAAAAACTTTGTACACTTTGTAAAACTGTGTAAAAACTGCGAAAACTGTGTGTAAAAAATTGTAAAATGCGAAAACTTTGTCAAAACTTTGTGAACTTTGTCAAAAAGTTTGCAAACATTGCAAACTTTGTACACTTTGTACTAACATTTTGTAAACTTTGTAAACAACTTTTAGATGTTGTAGGCCTTCGTAAACTCTATTTAAAAAAGACGTTATAGACTTCGTAACACTTTGCAAACTTTGTAAAACGTTTTTAAACTTCGTAAACTTTGTCAAAACATTGTAAGCATGTTGAAAGACCTTGTGAACGTTGTGAAAACTTTGTAAACTTTGAACACTTTGTAAATTTCCTAAAAACTTTGTACAAATTGTGAAACTGTACAAACTTTGTAAAAACTTTGTAAAATGTAGACAAACTTTGTAAACTTTGCAAATAAATAAACTAGCAAAACTTTGTAACCGTTGTCAAAACTTTGTAAACTTTGTCGAAACTCTGTAAACTTTACAAGACTTCGTAAACTTGGCTAAATCTTTGTAAACTTTCCAAAATCTTCAAAACTTTGTAAACTTTGTAAAAACCTTGTAAATTTGTGTAACAAAAGGCAAATGTCGCAAACTTTGTCAGGTCGTTGTAAACTTTGTAAAAACTTTGTAAACTTTGTAAAAACTGTGTAAACTATGTAAACTTTGTAAAAACTTTGTAAAACTTTGTAAAGTTCTGTGAAAGAAGTGTTTTTGCACGTTTTTTTGCTTAAAAAGAAGTGTTTTTCATGTCATTTGTTGTAAACACAAGTGTTTTTCACCAGCCATTTGTAAACTTTGTAAAAACTTTGTAAACTTTGTAAAAAACCTTGTAAACTTTGTAAACTTTGTAAAAACCTTGTAAACTGTGTAAAAACTTTGTAAACTTGAAAAACTTGTGTAAACTTTGTAAAAACTTTGTAAACTTTGTAAAAACTTTGTAAACTTTGTAAAAACTTTGTAAAAACTTTGTAAAAACTTTGTAAACTTGAAAAAGCTGTTGTAAACTTTGTAAAAACGTTGTACAACTTTGTAAACTTTGTAAGAACTTTGAAAACGTTGTAAACACTTTGTGAGACTTTGTAGACTCTGTAAAAATTTGAAAAACTCTGTAAATTCCGAACTTTGCAAGAACTTTGTCAAATTCCAAAGCTTTGTAAAATCGTTGTAAACTTTCAATACTGTGCAAAAACTGTGTAAACTGTGTAAACTTTTTAAATTTTGTGAAAGCTTTGTAAACTATGTAAATACTGTGTAAAGTTTGCAAATGTTTGTACACTTTGTAAAAACGCCATGTAAAAATTGTAAAATGTGCAATCTTTGTAATTTTTTTTATAAACTGTGTACAAGCTTTGTAAACTTTCAATACTTTGCAAAACTGTGTAAACTTTGTAAAAACTTTGTCAACATTGCAGCAACATTGTAAAACTTTCAATACGTCTTTAATTGATTTTTAAATGGTAAAACCTTTGTAAACTGGGTAAAAATTGGAAATTGTTCAAAACTTTGTAAACTGTGTTAAAATATTGTAAACTTTGTAAAACTTTGTAAACTTGGTAAGCGGTTGAAAAAATTTGCAAACTTCATAAAAATGTGTAAAACTTTATAAACTTTGTACCAACTTTGAAAGCTTTGTAAAAGCGTAGTGAACTTGTTATAAACTTGGTAAACTTTGTCAACACTTTGTAGACTTTGTAAAACATTTTTAAACTTTGTCAAACTTTGTAAGCTTTGTCAACCTTTAAACTTGTAAAACTTTGTAAGAACTTGGTAACACTTTTGAAAGACGTTGTAAAATTCGCAAACTTTGTAAAAGGTTTACCAACCTTTTACGAAGTTTTGGAGTTCTTCAAATTATTCTTCAAAGTTAGAGCAACGTTTTAAAGTTTTTAGAACGTTTACAAAGTTTTATATTTTTACAAAGTTATACAACGTTTACAAAACTTTCACAAAGTCTTAAGAATTTGTACAAAGTTTGCAACTTGTGCAAAGAGTTGACAGAATTGTTGATTACAAACAAATTTACAAAGGTTTACGTCTACAAAGCTTTTACCATGGCCGTTCACTCACCACTCACGAGACAAACAAACCTATGAAATAGTCCTTTGGGTCTCGTATGTTGCCACGAACAGCGCAAAAAGACAAGACGTGTTTTATACCCTCTCTTAGTTCTGAACAACCAATTCTTCAGAGGTCCGCAAGGGTCAAAAACACTTCTTCTGCGCTAATTCCCCCGAAACAACGAACGACGGTCCCCAAGCAACTTAACAGTTGAAGAACAGGGGCATGGTGCTCAGGTGATAAACCTACAAGACCAGCACCAATGTCACAAAACAAGCATCAACAAGCAACACATAGCAACATGGCTGCGGAAACCATGTCGGTTTCCCTGACTCCAATCATGATGTACCCTAGCGTCACTCAACGTGTGTCCAGCCATTCAAACACCAGAAACCAATCGCAACACCCCACCATCCACCGCTCCACCACCCTCGCCACGTGCGTCCCAAGTCGCTGCGAGTGCTTACTGATGGCCTGTCGCTCGTCCTCCCCCGCACCAGCTTGCCCCCCTGGTGGCTGCCGGGAACCGGGCGGAACCGCGATCCGTTGGGTGACGTGTTTCGCTCCCTGCGAGTCCCGCGATTGGAACCAAAGGGTCTGACTAGGTCACTAGGTGACCTTGCCAACAAGGGGAACTTCATGGAATCTTCCAGAGAATTCCAATGACTGCAACATGGAATTCGAAAACTGGACTTCTAGTGAACGTCTTGGGGCCGCCGTCTGAAAATGTCTGCCAGACTCCCAAAGGCATGTGCCTGTGTGATCCTGTCTAATCCTGTCGGTCATGCAGAGGTCTTGCAACACCAAACCTGCAACACCAAAACTTACAGTTTAGCCTCTCGTGGACCCGTCCGTCCTGAATCTTCCTCCATTCCTTTCTCCCGGATGTGCCAGCCTTCCGTCTTTGCTTCCCCCCTCTCCTCCTTTCTCATGCCTTCCTTCCTTGAAATATTCTTGCGAGAACCGGTTTTGCCCCAAAGCTCCTGTTTCATGGACATGTTGCTGCCAAGTGTTGGAGTTGAACACCTTTGGACAATCTGTGTGTCCCAATTCATTGAAGAGCCTGCAGTACTTACGAGCTAGAGATAGTCAGCACCCAACCCGAACGTCTGGCCAGCAGGGCGCCAAGCAGGGCCATCCCGCCTTGCAAGAGCTTCATGCTATGATCCACCAAAGCATGCAATAGGAGCCGCAGCTCGCGGACCACCTGGAGCTCAAGCGGCGGCCTACTAGGCGGTTCCGCCACCAGTTTCCTTTAACCAAATGTGTGGGGAACACGGTGAGAACTGCATGGGCTTTAATGGTCTTTTCTGTATTTTGCTGGTCTTTTTGTGTGTTCTCTATTTGTAGTATTTATACATTTTATGCGTTGGTTCGTTCATGTTTTTCCGTAAAAATCATTCCACCCCTTCTTTAGCACATGCTCACCTCCCAAGCACATGCCCATCGAATTGAATGTGAATTTGGGGGTTGCTCTCCGTTCACCTTTCAAGATCGCCCCGAATGCATGGAAGTTATTATCCACACACCCTCACACACCTCCCCCCCCAACCTCCAGGCGCAACTCCGCGTTGTCGGCGTCCAGTGCCGAGGTCAAGTCCTCCGACCAAAACGCTCGTCGAGCCGAAGAAAGGACGGGAAGCGAAGCCGGTCTCCAAGACCCGACGAGAAAGGACTCCGAAGGGGGTCGCGGTGTCAGGCGCTGGGAAAGAAGACGCTCGGACTCTGCTGCTGTTTCGAAGGAAAAAAAGAAGCTGTACACAATAGATGCGCGGTACTTTTGGAGGAACATGATTCAACATGATTCGACCCTCTTTCACCTGGCACTCGGAAAAGACCTGGTATCTACCGGCAGATGCAAACACCCCTCACACCCGCCGCTTCGGTAGCTCGAACCCCCGAACCCCAGCTACGGATAGCTACGGAGGGTTGCACAGCCAATCACTAGCTCCTGGCAGCGGCTGGTGGTGTGCTGCAGCAGGGCCTTGCTGATGGCCGCGCTGTGAAAGCCTGGCGCAGCGGAGCAGCGCGTGTGGCGGAGGGTGTGGCAGCACGTGTGGCTCAACTCTGCCCTCATGTGACGTTCCGAAGTGAGCTCTCATGGGAGAATCAGAGGCTTTTTGAGGTCCGTTTTGCGGCCACTGATGGCTTCCAAGGCTTCTTCAATACTTTTTCGGAGTGCAGTCTCCTTCACAAGTTGTAAATGAAAAGAATCGATCATGACCAGGTTTGTTTCCCTGCTTTGCACCTGTGACACCACTTGTTGTCAGGAATCCGACCCCTCCCCTCAAAACAAGGATGCGGTCAAGCGAAAAGGCATGAGGTATTCAATTCTTGCTTAATGTCCACACTAACTGACCTCCCGACATGCAAGTTTTGGCTCCAAGCCAAGCTTTTTGCATCCCGCACCGTCAGTAGGAACCCACACCAACACCATCTTCGGCCAGGCCTTCTGTTCTCTCTTCGTCCAACACACGCACCTCAAGCAGGAAAAATAGAACATGAGGGTGCTGTTTTTAAGGCATCGTTGTGTCAACATCTGCGTGCAAATCACCTGCAGATCTTGTCGATTTGTACAAGAGCGATTTTTGTCGTGGAAAAGGACGTGGAAAGTGCCATGAAGTCTGAAGTCTAATTCGATTAGACCTGCGGGAACCATCATGGGTTACACTCCCTGGAACTAACATGGAAGTGGAGAATGGCCCCTTGGAGAATGGCCCGTTCCTCAACAAACAGAGGGTTTTTCGTCCGGTTCTTCACTTCCATGTGAGTTCCGAGTACCGAGTAAACCGCCATCGTCATGGTCTTCGGTACCGGAAACCGGTCCTCGGTCCGCCACGAGAGGTCGATAGGGCACAGCAGAGGTGTAGATCGATCCTCCCATCAGGTGTAGACGTCAAACAGTCGAGGAGTCAACGCTTCAACTAGCAGCTAGCAGCTAGCCGTGCAGCTAGCAAAACAGCCAACTGGAGCTGCGCCAGACGAATTCCATCGAATTCCTAGAAGACGTGGAACCAATTGAGTCCATTCATTGAGGTTCTCATTAAGGTCACCCTCACGACATCTCACAAGTCACTACCACACGACCAATAGATTCTGAGCAACCCACCATGACCCATGCCTGTGATTCAGAGGCGGAAGCTCATGAGTCAGAGCTAATGCCCATGAAATCCACACAAATCATCGTGTTTACCCATTGCTGACTGGTGCCACTCGCCAGGGAATGAGGGTGGCTGACCCTAATGTGAGAAGGAATGTATTTCTTTGGATCCGTCATGGTCCATTCCTTATGATCCGCACGGAAGCCGGCACGCTTGGAGGCCGGGTTCCAGCACCTCACCTCTCCCGACAGCACTCGATGGTTTCCGCGGCCCAGTGGCATGTTCGATGCAGCGGCGTCGCTCGCCGCGCTGGGGGGAGAACATGCCCAAGACCTGCGGCGGGTCTCGGCTCGTGGCGGCACGTGGCACGTGGTCAGGGTGACCCGGGCGTCTTCGTGGAGGGAGGGTTGGGGTGGCGCCTTGTTTGGGGCGGCGCTTTGGGAGGTGTTGGGGCGGTTTCAAAGGCCTTTGGGTTGGGGAAATGGAATTGGTCCTGAGAGCAAGAGACATGGGAGATGATCCAGAGTTGGTCCAGCTTCCGGATGGTCCGCTCTCTTTTTTCCCCAGAGACATCATCAACGAATTTGGTGCTGAGGAACCCTGTGAATATCGGCTGATATCCTCCACCTCACCCTGTAGCTTTGCATCTGGCACCCCAACCCCAACGCAAACCGGGTTTTCCACTGGCTCTTGAGCGGGTGGCTTTCACCATCCGAAAACGATCCAATTTGCAAGACTGTGAACAGCTTGGAGCGCTGTGGTGGTGGCTCTGCGCTGCCACATACCGCGATGCCAAAGCAGGGTCACTTCCTTTGTCTAGAGGCAGTCACATACTAACCTAGAACCCATTTGACCTCTGTTTTGATAGGAAAAGGCCATCTTTTGGGTGGTTGGTGGTCCAAAATAGAGGTCACTCAGGTTCTAGGAATATATATATATATAGTAGTCAATAGTCACTCAATCTAAGCAACATTTAGACGTCCTAAGGGCTCGTCCACCATCCTCCACCATCCTCCACCATCCTCCTCCGGGCACTGGTTCCCCGCCTCCAGAGCGCCCACCTGCGCGCGCACGTCCGCGCTGCCCGCGATGAGCGCGTGGCACACCTCCTCGTGGCCGTTGCCCGCGGCGTAGGTCAAGGGCCGGATGCCTCGGCACGGACGGCCGTGGGTCTCTCGATGTAAAGACGCGTCGTTTCACGAAGCTCCGGTGGTTTCAGAGCCCAAACGACTGTCATGGGACTGCCGCGCAACGGCCAGGAGTGGTGCTAGGGGGGGTCTGTCTGGGGCGGCATATGTTTTCCATACATGGAGATGTCTGGGGCGGTTCGAGCATTGGCATCCCAGCCTTTGGAGATGCGGGGTCCATATGAACCAAAGGCATTGGGATTGTGCCATCTACACTCTCCATTCACTATAACTGGAATCGAAGGGAAGGGAAGAGCCCGAAACTCTAAAACAAATGGATATGCAACAGATGTCGTCCTCTGTGTGGGAGGAGAACATCAAAAAGAACAACATGTCTTGCCACATGTTCGCCCTAGCTGCGTGGTTTTGGTGTGGTCTCTCTCTCTCCTTCTCTCTCTCCCCACCGAAATTCAGGCAGCGGCCTGTCTCGACCCAAAACATCGAAAATCACAAGCATCCTCCAGGACCCACTGTCGGGGGTGGTTCATGGACACCCCTTATATAACCTCTAAGGGCTATCAATAGACACCTCTTTGGGGGGTCCTGGCTCCACAAGTCACAGCCTTCTACAGTTTCATCCACCCAATGTTGCTTTCAAATGGACATCCAATTCGCCCCAGACCATCTTCGCATCTCCCCCTCCCGAAAAAAGGAACGGGTGAGCCCAGCGGCCGAGGGTGTCGGGGATGTTGGGATCCGCATCCAGCTCCAGCGCTCGCTTCACCGCCTGCAGATCGCCCCGCCGTGCCAGGGTGAAGATCGCCTCCCGCCGCCGCCGAACGAACGCGGAACGAACGGCGTCGTTCCACCCACCCGGAGGGTCGGTGGGGGGCGGAACGTGCAGTGCGAAGGCGTGCGGCCTCTGCGCGCCTGCTAAGGCTAAGGACCTGCTAGGCACCAAGCTCCGTCACCCATGTGACTGTGTCACAAAATGAGAACATCCAAAACCACACAGCAAATACACACCATCTTCCATGTCCATCTTCCCATGTCCATCATTCCGGCCTGGGAGCCCAGCATGGCCTTCACGATTCGGTTCAGTGCCTTGGGGCCGGTGCCCTCGCGGCTGCGGAAGTTCTCGATCTCGCCCATGATCCTCGGCGCGGAACGGCGCGGAACCGCCGGCGGAACCGCCCACGCCGGCGGAACGGCGCTTCCGCGCGGGCGCGGGCTCTGCCGGTCTGAGAGTGCTCTGCCGACTGCGAGCATCTGGTACTGAGTGGATCTGAGTGAGCAGATCGGATGAAGAATACGAAGATGATCAGTACCAGGACCCTCCAACAGGTCACCCACCACCTGCGACTTTTAAGTCTACAAAGCCTCCAGAGACCTGTTGGAGGGTGCTGGTGATTTTAGATCCAAAAGCGATGGAGGTCCTAGTCCTAGTTCGGCAGTACCCCAAAAGAGGTGACCGGAGCTCTTGCTCACCATCTCATAGCTAAGGCTCTTGTTGTAATCGTCGGGATTGGTGGCATCGGCTTGTCCAACATCAATGTGCTGCAGCATCTTGAAGATGTGGAAGACCCAGGAGTCCTTCTCCTGCCGCTGCAGGGCTTCAACGGTCCAAGCATCACTTTCGTCTTCAGCATTGCTGCGGACCAAATGGTTTTCGCGTGAGGAGCCACGTGGTATTCGTGCTTGCAAAAACCCGGCCTTGCCACGTGCCTGAACATCTCCGGCACGAAAAAGAGCAAATGCCGTGCGAATCTACGAACAATGGCGGAACCCTCTGACCAGCCTTGGAGCAAACATCCAATTCATCTCATCACACCATATACCCTAGACTTCCAACCACCATTAAAATAATAGGCTGAATCCCGAACCAACTAAGGACTTTACACTACAAAAACCAGTTCAACATAGTTCAACCATTCTTTTAATAGTCTTGGAAGTCTAGGGTCTATGGTACTCTCGCCGTCGGCGCCCCGGTCCTTGGTCTCTTGGACCACTCCCACCAGCGGCCCCAGGCGGAAGTTCAAGGTGAAGGGCTTCTCCAAGCTGTGGGTGAGGTAGACCTGGCGGAGGACCGGCAGCGTTGGGCCGGTGCCGTGAGTCTGAACCTCGGAACATACGGGGATCTTCCGGCGGTTTGGTCGGAAGATCCGCGGCGGCTGAAAATACGAGATGAAGATCTGAGGCCTGGGGCACTCCTGGGGCCCGCTGAAGCTGGAGGTTGACACAAGTGGTTTCCACCACACGACATGAACCTGACTGGTGTGACGAGGCCACGGAATGTGGGCATGACCTCCCAATGGGTCCAGCTTCATTCCTTAGCTTTCGTCGCACCAGTCAGGAACACAACACGATCAGCACCAACCAGATGAGTCAGCACCCACCGACCCTGCTCGAAACCACCGGCCGTCCTTCAGGTCCCAACCGGCTCAAAAGCCGCTAAGGCGTTGAAGTGGGCCGTTGGGTGGATCGAAGTTCGGAATCGGCCAGACATCTGGATTTGGAACTGATCCCAGTGGAGGGGCTGCACATGGAGTTTGCACAAAAGGATCGCACGCCTTTCAAGGGAAAGCTCAAAGCGCGGCGGGAAGGCAAATGGGCATTTAGATCTTGAAGAACTCACTTGGGTTGTTCTTGAAACAGGGACCAGATTCATTGACTACAGAACTCGACAGGACAGTGTCAAGAATAATTTGCCCAGTTCAGGACAGCACTGGAATTCGTGCAGACTTCGTTTTGGGATAGCAATCCAATTGGTTTTACTGGAACTGAGTGAATCAGTGAATCGATTCTTCCGCCGTTTCTATCTTTGGAGGAGGGATCTATTGTAGACCAGAAAGAAGATGGACATGTTCTCACAAATAAGGAACTGTTTCCCCCTATACATGTTCTCAATTCATCTATGCCAAAACTGGCAAAACTGGTGCAATTGAAGTGGCTTTGGGGTCTAACCCAAAAAAGAACCAAACCCGAACCACCCCGCCGAACCTCTCCCCTCGCCCCATCACCGAACCCGCTCGCCTCGTAGATGCACCAAATCCGATCCAGGGCCGTCGCCGCCTGATTCCTCGACGCAAGGCGCAGTGGACGAGTAAGGCGAGTCCAACGCGCAGAGGTCGCGAAGGTACTCAGCTGGGCAGAAGAGTACTGAGTACGCCCCCCCCTATTTGGTCCCAAGGCGCGTTGCAGAAAACCCACGGACGGAGCGTCAGTCAGTCATTCTGTTTCAGCTCGAAGCCTGAAAGAAAAGACGGTCTCTTTTGGGATACACAACTATTCCTGTGCCTGTGCAACTTGGTCGAGCTGTCTGGTAGAGAATTGTTGGCCAAAACCTGTTCACATTGCAGAGTGAGTTTATCAGTGCTGACAACACACATCATATACTGCCGCCTTGAGTTATTTCTGTTCAGAAACTCTGAGTAATTGAATTACAAGGCCCCTACCAGCACAAAGGCAGTGCACTTCGTCAGCTTACTACTTTCATCGCGCCTCTAAAATATATATAATTATACATATATATATATATATAAATGGTGTGGTTATGTCGTACAAAAGTGCATCTAAATGATTGCAGGCTCAAGTTCCACTCGGACCACTCCAAAAGTATAAAACCTCAAAAGCATTTATACTTCCGGGGAACTAGAGCCTTGAGAGACGCTCAACTGAATCAATATCACACACTCATCAAATATCCCCAAGGCATGTCCCTGGCTAGATAGTGTCTTGATTTATTCCATGTGCCCTGGAATGAGTACGTCAGGTTTTTTCAGCGTTTCCCCTTTCCATCGCCGAGCTCTCCAACCCCTGCTCGTTCCATGCCGGCCCCTGGGCCCCGCCCCAGCCTGTCGACCGCTTCCGCTTTCCGCCCAGGCGCAAGTTCATGACGGTGCCTTTGCAGTTCTTGGAGTTTAAGGCTTGGTAGAAGGGGCTCTTCTGCAAGGTCTCTCCTGCCGTGGGCAAGACATACACGCAAAGGCCGGAGGAGACCCCCTTTTTAGGGCCATCGGGAGACGTGGAGACTTCTGCAGAGGCGCTGTGCTGTTCTGCCGAAGGAAGGTAAGAAGACACATGTTGCTGCTATTCTCAGTCCTAGTTCAATTTGATGTTGATTGTTGGCAAAGGCACAACACCAGTACCTTAGGCATGAGGTCACCGATGCAACAATGAAAGTAAATCGAAAAAAGAAACACTGCAGGCAAACCGACTTCATGGACTATATAATTGCAGTAGATTGCAGTAAATGTACTGGATATGAACATATGCCTTGCCTCTAGAATTTCAATGACTTGCCCAAGAATCCCAAGAAAACCCAAACGGACCAGGGAGGAAACACGCAGAGTCAAACCACGTCGTTTCCAGCACACGGTCTCCAGCAATGGCTGTGCCATGTGACACGCGTGGGCACCCTGGTCTTTTCCCACCGAACATGAACAGATTCCTCCAAAACATCCCAAACCATGCTTCGGTGAATTCAGGTGGCCATGCCTCATCTCCGCCCTGCCGCCGACCAGTGCCTCACCGGCCCTTGCCTACCAAGACACACCACATCCTTCCACTTGCCGCCCAGTTCGGGCGCCGCGATGATGGCATGTCTCCTCGTTCGGGGCACCACGGGCGGGTCGCAGGTTCTCTTGAAGGTGTGGCTTTCTTTCGACCCCAATCCGTCTTCCAGGTGAAAAAAAACTACAGATGCTTCTGCTGCTTCAACCGCCTATCGGACTATCGTGTTTTTGCCTGTAAAAACTCTCAAATCGGTGTCTGCCCTGCAAGCGCCCGCACAAGCCTCGCCCCCCCCCTTCCCCGTACAATCGCCGCCCGGGGGCAGAACGCTCTGGACAAACTCCCCAAAATCTTCTGCCCAGTGATGACTGATGAAGTAGTCCACCTGCAAGCCACCTGAGACTTCTGGAAAGTGCTGCTTTCCGAAGAAAAGGACCAGTCCAGGTCTGCCTTTCCGGTCGCCCTTCAGCGACATGCTGATATGCTGACATGCTTATTGCACTAGGCCGGCACTGTGATGTTGGATTCCATATGCAAAACTGCTGCGGCTCCCGCTTGTCACTTGCTGAGTGCTCGAATCCCCTTGCTCTCTCAGTGAAAGACTCGTGCATAAAGTCTGTTGCAAGCATTTGTCCAGCTCTTCGGCATCATTCCACAGCCACAGTACCGGCACAGCGAGACTTTCTAAAGAGCCCTGAGAAGCAAGGACGGCACAATAAGGAGGAGCACCAACACTGTGAAGCATCTAATGACCCGAAACTGACAGCAAAGAGTTCACCTGTCACGACATCAGCATGAGTGTTCTCATTGGCCATCTCCCCAAAGTACCCAGGAATGCTATATGAATCTAAATGATGTCAAGGCAGGCACTTGCAACTTGCACATAAGATCAGGGACATTCGTTGCGGTATGAGGAAGAGACCAAGCTCTCCGCCCTTCTCCGCCCTGCCCTTCTCAAACCGCCCCAAGCAACAGCACCACCCAAGCCACGAGGATTGATCAGCTCGGAGTAGCTGACACCCTCTTTGCACGTCTCCGGCTTGATGATCAGCTCGGTCACTGCCTGGGCTCCGGGGCTCCGGCTCCGCGCGAGCAACGGGGAAGAGTCGACTATTGCAACAAGCAGGATTGAAGTGAATCCCGAAAAAAAACGGCCGCCAACCAACAGAGGTTAAGTGACTGAACTAGGACCCTAGCAGGGTACCGAACTCGGATAGCCCATAGGGTTCTTCAACCTCTGTTGGAAGAAGAGTGAACTTGAAGCGGGATCTATGGGAAAGGTCTGCCCCTGCTGCGAATAGACCAAATAGGGTGAGGTGAGTTTTTGCCTCTGGGCGGTCATGCGAGAGGATGATGTAGTGGAGAAAGGTCCCCCGGATAATCTTCCCAACTAAGACTTAAATATCTCTTATTGTTCGGACGATCCCGATTCACAAACATAGCCAGCCATGGCCAGCCATATAACGAATGCGCAACATAGAACTGTTTTTGTCAAAGACCCCTGAAAGAAAAGGGAACACACACATATCCACTAAACCCAAGACTAAAAAGCCGGTCTTTCACAGTGTCTCATCCACCCCAAATCTCCCCAAAAAATGGAACCCGCCTGCCAAACCCCTGCCAAACCCCCTGCCCAAAACCCCGCTGCACACCCACTATCCCGCCCACCTTTTTAACCCCCGCAGCCAAAACCCCTCCAAGTCACATACAAGTTCGTCTCGCGGGGCCGCTTCGTGCGCGCGCGCACCTGCGGATCCTGCCGGTTGGCCTGCACGCAGAGCCTCGGCGCGGAGGGCTCTGCCCTCCCGTCCCCCCGGTGGGAGCACCGCGGTGGCCGGTCGGATGGGACTGGAAGAGATGCCGCCGACAGGGAAGAGGCCTTGACCCCCTCGCCCAATGATGGATGAGTGAAGTCTTCCCGTCGCAGGTTCGCAGGTCGTGGGACACGGGGTTTGGAACCTTGGAGGAGCCTTCAGAGACACGTCCAGAGATGACATGGAGGTGTTCCAGGTGCGTATTGGTGGTGTTGAACTCCTCTGGGCACCAGAGTCAGAGGAGTAAAATTTGTTGGAAGGAGTACATGGTCTTGAGGTCAAGATGTCAAGCAGTTCCAAGTCTGTAATGCAAAAGGGTGTGCATCATTGATGAAATCCCTAGTTGTCTCAGTTCACCTACGGCCCCTTGGGGCACATGGGGTGCCCATGGGTTGCAGTCTGAAAAGTGTTCAATGACTTTCGACTCTAGCTTCATTCTACAGCGATGTAACCCTGCTGGTATGCAAAATATCAGAATGGTCTAGGGTCGGGGCATTTCCACTGTTACGTGGCCTCCGCCTCCTCCGCTCCCAACGGCGGGAAAAACCCTTCCCATCACTGGCAGTAGAAACGCCTTTCTCACCTCCAAAGGGCTGGCACAAGGTGGTGGGCAAGCACAGCGGCTTGGGCGGCTCTTCCAATTCTTCGTAGATCACGTCGCCACAAAACCTCCCGATCCCCCACGCGATCGAGGGCGGCCGAAACGCCGTGCCGCGCGGCAGGTCCCGCGCGGGGAACCCCCGATCGGCGCCAAGCTCACCACGATGGATGGATCGGCGCTGAACAAGGGTGGTTTTCCATGTGTTTCTTCCGCCGAGGGCAACTGTCTGATGACACCGAAGGGCAACACGGAACACCCCGTGTTGCAGAACTCACCAAACTAGTGTCCTCTCCCCCAACGAAATCCGATCAAATGTCACCAGTCTTTCGCAGCTTTGAGAGGTCCTTACTGAGGGTCTGAAGCAAAGCCGGCCTGTTCATTTTTCAGATCCCGCAGGCCCAAGTTGTTGTGTTTCACAAGGCTCAACAGGCTCAACCTGAAGCCATGCCAGGACCTGCAGTTCGTGACCTCTTCAGGATTGGTAGACGTGACCTGAACTCAAGGCCGTTTCGTGGCCGACCCGCCACTGGGATCTCAAGTTAGGTCACTGGGAAGGTCCTGGTGCAAGCTTTTGGTGAATTTGCCGGATCAGTTCTTTACTCCACTAGACTCCTCCAATGAGTGTATGTGAGTGAGTGTAGTCGACCAGCCCCTCCTCAGCTCCAACCAGCTCCAATTCTCGCACCAAGTCGCTTGGCAAAAAAAGACCTCGAATTGATAGGCGTTCATCCCACGCTTCTCGGGTTCTTTCACCCACTCCTCTGCTCGGTAGTCACTTCTCCCCCGATGTTCGGTGTGAAAGAATGGCCCTTTTCGTGGACTCTAGACTTCTGGGATTTCAACCCGGTCGATCCATTCACTGTGGGTCCGTGGGAGAAATAGACACGGGGTGGGCCTCAGAGCGGAAAAGGGCACTGCCAATCGGTAATCCGTGAACCATCGTCAGTCCTCTTTTCGCGTTTGGATTGAGCCCAAACCAAGACCTGGGACCTGGTACCCCGGCAAACCCCAAACAGGAAGGATTGGGCCCAAGACCTCTCTGGGTTTGGAGATTGAGCCCCATCTCGGGGGCCTGGATTGGGTTGCTGGGGCATGGCGGTAGGGCGCGAACCGTGAAGCTTCCTGGAAACCGTGAACCGACACTGAGCGGAAACCATCCGGAAACCTCTGGAAAGCCTCCAAAGGACTTCAAATCCTTATAGGTCACCAGCGACCACAAACACGAAATCCGTAAACTGGCAATCTGCAGTCCGGGTACTCATTGGGATTAAGTTGGAACTGACTGGCCTCTTCCCACGGACCCACAGTGAGTGGAAGGCCACAATTCCCCGGCAAGCACGGTGTGTTTGCCACCTTCGAAGGTTTTTCAGGTGGAGAACGTCCGAAGTCATCGCTTCCTTGCAGAACCTCTGGAAATCTGTGTCACGACGTGGTCCTCCAAATGTGCGACTCTGCACGTCCACGTCCGACTCTCTGCACGATGGTCACGTCATACTCTCCACGGCCTAATGTAGACTCTTGATCAATCAATGTAGATTACTAGACCCCCCATATTGATTGATCAAGATTGATCATGAGGGGTCTAGTACCGGGGTCATTGATTCTTCAAAGGATGTCCAATTCAATTTGGGGAGCTTCTTTGGGTTCCTTGAACCGTCCCCACTCGCGTCGCTCCACAAGACACAGACGTCGAGCTCGGTCACCCCACTCTCTCCTGGACCTTGACCTCCTCCTCCTGCGGCGCTGTCTCCTCCGAGCCCAGCGAGCTCCGCGGCTCGTCCACGAAGCTGGGGGGGCTCGGCCCCACGTCGCGCGTCGTGGTGGGCCTGCGCTGGAGGCCTTTGGAGGGTGGCAACGGCGGGAGTCGGAACCCACCGAAGTGGTGAAGAGCGGTGACCTGTGGCAGGTGGGAGGGGTCCTGGTTCAGGTTCGGCGTTGGGTTTGGTGACCGTTGGGTGATGTGTGGTGGTTTCGTTGGATGCGGTGTTAGGTGTTAGGTATTTGATGTGTGTTCTGCGGTTTTCTTGGCACCGCCTGTGAACTTTCATCCGGTTCCTTTAAAGAGCCATCATCCTAGGCAATGCTAATTGTAATATGTTGTAATTGGCTCTGACTTTCTTGCGAAGCTTCACGACGGATCGTCCGCGGCGGTTGCGGTGCAGCAATGTATATGATATAGTTGGTTTCAAAAATAAAAAGGTTCAACATAAAAACAAATGCTTGTTACAATCGTTCTTCCCGCTGGGGGCAGGAAGCTCAGGATCAACAACCCGCAGAATCCTCTGCCTCTGACTGACCTACCAATAATCAGGAGAAATTGGAGAAAGGATCTGTTTTGGAGCCCAAATTTCAGGGGGCCAACACCGGTCTGCAGGGCTCACATTTTGTGAGTCTGGGAAAACGATCAGTGTTCCCTCATTGTATATAAATGCCACTGAACCCAACCTGGAACGGTTCCCGTTCCCGTTCAAGTTCAAAAGCCACCTCACCTTGTCTGGATACCGACACAGGTTCCACCAGCGAATTCGCAGCTCCAAATTGCTGCCTCCTCACTGGTGGAGAAGTCGAAGTCAAAATGTTCTCCGGAAGCTAGCGCTCGGAGGTCACGAGGAGGAGGAAACTGTTTGCGCGTGCCTCTGTTTGTAAATATGATGCACCTGCTACACAAGAGAAAGGGTTCGTCGGAGCTGTATCCCCGCACTGCCACAATGCACTCATCCCATTGCAACTTCAACGATAGGGACACCTCATCCTGCTGAACGTTTGGCCAGTCGCTCAACTCCCTCATGCTCCCATCTTGGTTAAGTAAACGGCCAACTAAATGGCCATCTGCCATTTCGAAGGCTAAACCCTGCACCCCCCCACGTATGACAGCGCGGACTACTCTGACCGTCTTGCTGTGAAAGCCTGCTGCCTTTAGCGCACGATGATATGCATCATAAAGTGCCAAGAGTGAGCCACAAACAGCTGTGCACACTGAGATGATCATGAAGTAATTCTCCGTGACTGTCAAGAGGTAGATGGTCTGCAGCACAGCTTGCGGGACATCTTCGCCTAGAGTTCGGGACAAGTGGAGAAGCTTCCAAGTGAACTGGTGTTCCGTAGGCAGCGTCACGCGTGCTGCAAAGGTATCCATGTGCATCATCTTGGCGAAACAAGCACTTGAAGGATCAAAGAAGCACAAGATTGCCATGATGGCCCACTGAAGGACGACCACACCCGTCAAGTAGAAAACAAGCATGAACCATCCCAAAGTCTGTGATGTATCATCCGGGCACGAAAAGGCAATGGCAATGCTGATGCCATCCTGATACGCGTCCAGAAACCCAAAGAATGACATGAAAAACCTCCTGGAGAATGTAAACACGCTGTCGATTTCTCCAGATAGTGTAGGATCAAACCTGTTCAGCAGAATCTCTGTCAATTTGCTGGCCAGAAGAATGCCGAGGAAGATCAGGTGGGTCTCCCAGAAGAATCCCGCTTCACAGGTCAGCGTGTCGAAAAACCATACTGGGGTACCAAGACAGCAAATGATATAAAGCACAAAAAGGAAACACATCCAACATCTTCTCCTGTTTGCAAAGCCTTTGTGTTTCCGAATCCGGTCTGTCTGTTCCAATTGTGCTCGAAGATCCTCATCCTGTTCATCGTCATTCACCCCTTCATCTTCTTGGTTGTCATCATCAACAATGTATACAATCTTCTCAGGACGACCAAACCTCAAGCCTTTCGTATGGTGGCCCCCTTCTATTCTTTTTCGTCTTCTTCTTTTTCTGACCACTCGTTTCTTTCTTGGTTTCATTGCGGCTTCTGGCCCCATGGGAGTAACCACTGCAGGTCCGGCCGGCTCTTGTGACTCTTTCGCAGCAGTCCTCATTTGTTTGCTGCTGCTCTTGCTACAGAAAGCCACGACCACTGCTAAGCAGCCAACGGCTGCACAGCTTCCCAAGATAATTGCACCAAAAAGCCTCTGCCGATGCTGCAGCTCGTCTTTCGAGAAGCGTCCGGTGGTTTGCATGTCATCCATCGTCGAATTGTCACTGGACGAGTTGGATAAATTTGTTGCCTCACCGTTCCACATGCCAACAGTAAAGCTGAGACCGCTCAGCTGGCTTCTCTCAGCGTCACCTTCAGCGGCAAGTTGGGAGGCGGCATGGTAAATACAAAAAAAGACAAACACCGCAAAATACATGGTTTCCAATGCAACGGTCTCGAATCCTGTACAGAAGTATAACCCGGAGCCTCGGGCAACTGAGCCGATTATCAGAACGTGCCTTAGAATGTGGTGCATGTGAATCTGTTTTCTCATGAATTCACCAACCATTTCTTTCCAGTGACCTAGTCTGGCGAGGATAGCAAAGCTGACGTTCCTTTCGTGGCACTTTGCGGATCTCAAATTTATGTCAGCAATTACTAAACAGTGTGGCTGGCATGGGACGGGGAAGCGGAATGCGAAGTTAACTCTTGGGATGGCCCTACCGTAACTTTGGGAAGGATGGAGTGGAGACTCATCGCACACGTTGAGGAATCGTTGTTGAACTTGCTGGTCTCATTGGGCATTCCTTCCCTAAGTGCTAAGATCTGATCAATCACCATCACCATCCATCCAGGCAAGCGGGGCGACCCTTCCATGGCCGAGGCGCTCAGGCTCAGGCTTTGCCCATCCTGTCCAATGGGAAAAAAAGACCCCACGATGACCGCAGAATCATCGGATGACCAGAGACAGTTCTCCCCCACTCCGACGCTCCAGGCTCACAGCACGACCGAAGGAATTCGGTTGCTTCCGGAGGGGTCTGGAGGATCTCCCCTGCAGTGTCAAGTCGTCCCAAGTGCTTGGGAAAGGGTTTTTCACCGCGCGCGAGGAGCTCCGTCTTAAAACGTCACGGCATCCATCACCCGTTGTTTCCCGACCGTTGGAACGGACGGTTGTTTGGGATGGTTTTTGGTTTCAAACAAAAGTGGGAAAAGGTCGGGGAAACCAACAGAGGTTGAAGAACCCTAGCAACCCTACGCTATTCCCATTTTCTACCCCCCAACTGATGGGTCCTATGACAAACGGTCACTGGCTACCTCTCTTGCTTGGGACGGAACGGTCGGATTGGCCAGGTCTTCGACCTGTTTTCCTTCGCGTCCGATCCACGGCGAAAACGGTTCGATGTTTTAGGGAACCCAGCGAGCGACTCCACCAAGACTCAACCCCCGAAAAAAACCTTGGAAAATCAGAGGACCAGCTCCCACCCCCAATAGATCTAACACCCCCTCCCAGAATTGACCAGAGCGGCGCTCTGTTTTGGCACCTCCATGTCCTCAAAATGGTGTTCTTAACTGAACTCCCTCTCATCATCTATATACTAGTTACTAGCTCTCCAACCGTCTATGTCTATGGCTTGAATCTTCCGCTCCAACTTCCATCGTTGTTCGGAGCGGTCGACGGAGCGGCAGCTCCGAGCCGCGCCTCGACCAATCCCAGGTCGATGGTGACGGGCACGCTGGGCCGGCGCAGCGAGTTGCGGCGCACCTGCACCACCTGTTGCCACATGCATGCCACCCGGTCATCAAGGGTCATCAAGGGTCTTCCGTGGGAGGACAACAAAGGGTCTCCACACCACAACCACCGTCGCGCCCGGTCCGCCTGGTGCGCCGGGCTCGCCAGGTCCGAGGCGAAGGGCAGCGGCGGCCGCGAGGCGCTGCGGTCCTCGTCGTCCTGGGAGTGGCTGGCACGGCCAAAGCCTCGGCGGTCGGGCTTTCCCGCGGCGGTTGGAGGGTGTTCTTCGTCTTTTTTTTCCGCGGAAGGTGGGTGGGGAAGGAGGGGGCCAACGCGTGGAAACAGAGGGATGCGCATCTGCCCTGGTGCGAGATGGTGCGAGAAGAATGGCTATATGGATCAAGACCTCGCAACTAGGGGGATCAATATGTGGATCGGTTCATGATCGCTTGACATATGATCAATCAGTTCATCGATATAAATCACCTCTAGATCTGGAACTTCGTGTGACCTGCCCAGTCCACCGGCGTCCCCCCTCCCACCGGTTCTTCATCATTCCAGTCTCCATCTCTCCATCTCTCCATCCACCGAACGTCGCGCCGAGCCCCCGTCGCGGCCGAGCCACGTTGTCGGTTCTGCTGGGCGACGAGCCGCTGCGAGACCAGTCCAGCACCCTTCCGCAGGAAGTGGTGTCGTGGACTCCTCAATCGGCTTCTTTCAGACTCCACATGTACCCAAAGAAACAGCACCTAACACCCCCTCCCAAACTCCCACCTGCGAACAAAGAACAGAATCCTCGGAGAACAGAATTTGGGCCACTGTTTGTATCTCATTCCATCTCATTGCCACACCACATCCAAGCACCCCTCATCTCCCCAAACCACCGCCCCATGCTCGCCATGCCACGGAGACAAGCTCTGTGAGTTGCTGGGGCTTCGGCTGCGCACGCTGCGCGCGCTGCGCGCCATGGCGCCCCGCTCGACGGAGCTCGTCAGGCGCAGCGTCGCTTGCGAGGCATTCGTGGCGCCCAGCGACTCCGACCGCGCGCGCGGGGAGACCTGGGCGGTGTGATGGTGGGTGTGGGGATAAGATTGGTGGCAGTTGGGCAGTTGGCCGAAGTTTCAGGAAGCTTCAGTCCGAGACATGCTTGAAGTGGAATCACCTCAAGAGAAGCGATTGGGTAGGGACTGGGTCCGGGACTATAGGAACCAACTTGGCTCGACAATCCCAAAAACCATTCGAGCAGTGATTCGGAGATGTGGGGAAACACGATTCTTCCATGCTTCGACTTTGACCATCAAAGCTTCGAAGAGGTTCGATACATGGGAAAATGTCCGGAAAAAAAGGGGGTCTTCATGCTTCGACTCCAAAGTGAAGCTTTGGGTCCCCCAGCGATCTCTCAACGGCCCAAGTAACCTAATCACGGTGCCGGTGGATCTGTCTCCCCCGTGGAGTCCATCGGCCTCCATTCCGAAGGTGATGCTGGTGATGAACTCAGGCCCCACGGGGATCGCGCGCACTTCCCGCGCGGACATCACCGCCGGAGCCTGACGGCGCCGGGGTTCGCGAAGCCCGCAGCCTTGATGGGTGGGTGGTTGTTGGACCAGGTTTTGTTGGGGGGGCCGAACGAAGGCACTGGAAGTGAAAAAGGCGGCTTCTTCTTTTTTTGTGTTTGTTGATGTGCGTAACAGTGAAGTAGAGTGAAGTTATAGAAAAAAAGTTCCATGTCATGTCGGGCTTCCCGAACAGGATCGATTCTTGGAAGGAATGCTTGCGCAGCTGGCCAATGCGTTGGGATCAGCCCGTCCAACAAGTCCGCACGAGCGTCGTCGCATCGTCACTGCCGCTGCCACTCACTCACGAAACACCCCAGGCATCCCCTAAGGAATGCAAAAAAAGTCACTTTGATCGACTCTCTTGAAAAATAACGTATCCGGAGACTTGTTCATGACTTACACATCCCTCTAAAAAGAGCCACTGCACACCCAGAATGGCAGCATTCGTAGGAACGCCCCAGGCCACGTTAGCAATGTTATTGAACCTTTTCTTGAAGCTACCTCAGACCAAACATTACATGGAAATTCCCTGCGAACCACCGGAGAAGCTTTGGACATGTTCGTTGGGGAAACACCGGTGCTGCCTCTTTTTTTTTGGACCGTGTCGTCACGGAGTGAGTGGTCCCATGTTTTGGAGTGAATCCCTTCAAAGCAGGGCATGGAGGGTCTTGTCCGACTCCACAAAAAAGGGGCCTTTTCCTGTTGGTTGGAGGGACCAGATGTGTGCTCTGGTTGGTGGATTCCTTCCAAATAAAAATCACAAGAAACCGGTCCGACCTCCGCCGCACACCCAGAGTCGTCGACCGCCGCGCCTGCACCTCGGGCCGACCACCTCGCGGCGTACGGCCGGCGCCAGGAAAGCGCCGCACCGCGCGGCCGCGGGGCTCGTAGGCGGTCTTGGCCATGGGGTCCTGGAGAAGGTTGCTTTTGGATTCGGCGATGGCCTCCAACCTAAGAGCGATGGCCTCCAACCTAGTAGCGATGGCCTCCAACCTCAGAGCGATGGCCTCCAACCTTCAACCTGATAGCAATGGCCGAATCAAAGAAAAATATCTCGAAAAGAAAGGGAGAAAGTGCGAACCAAAGGGTGGAGGATGGTGAAGGTCTTGGTCTTTTTGAACTCCAGGTAGATCAGCAATGTGTAAACACCACATACAGTATTGCTTCGCAAAGTCTTAACGCTCATAGCTTGGGTATACGGTATATCATGGTATATCCTATCGCCAGCAACAGTGGATGACCCGACTGTTACAGGTCATGATTCATGGGACGCTTCGTGAAGCCCTGTGAGTCCATGCGAACGAACAAGCCGGTCATTTTGGCCCAAGGATCATGCACGAGAATAAGCAAAACAGGGACAGCAACTCCATGCTGTTCACCCCCCCTCCTGCAGGTAGATCACATGCTGCTTCTCAAAGCCTGGCACCTGGCGCGGGACTTGCATCGGCCCTGCGAGGGCCACACATAGCTGGGATTCCATGCGCAAGCGGTGCAAAGAGACCGGAGAAAACACGCCAGGCTTGGGCAGTTCTTCATGCCAATCATGGATGCTGATAGAACAACTGATGAAATGTTCCATTTAAGGTAGAGTCTGAATCAGCTTTCCGATTCGATCTGCTGATGGCCTCCACTTCGCAGGTCCCCAATCAACTCACCCTTCCGTCGGTCCCCAGGTCCCATCGTCTCTGGTCCCAGTCGGACATCATTTGATGTCAGGGGGGCCTCCTTCTGCAGAAAGGGCAGCTGTGGCACCCTCCACCCCCCACGCGCGGGCGAAGACGTCTTGGTCGACCTCATCTGGGTTCGATGTCTTGGGATGTTGGGACATGGAACAGGAGTTGGACCAAGTGGAGACCCCAAAACGAACTCGAAGCAAATTGCGTGTTGAATAGTTTGGGAGTTCTTACCTGTTTGATTCTTTTTGCGATGTTTCCGGGCATGAGCGAGTTGTGGGTTGAAGTGTAGCAAACAACTAGGAAACTGCCCATCTTTCTCAGAACCGTCACAGGCCCAAACGCCCAAAAGAAACGCATCAGAGGGCGGGAGCCCTCCACCCTCCCCCCCAAAAACCGCCCGTCGCAGCTCCACCAAGGGTCCGCAGGTGGTGTGTGGGCATGATCGCTGGAAGCAGCTCCACTGAAGCATCGCTCCTGCGCGGAACACCCGGCGCGGGGATGTTCGGCGGCGCAGCTTCTACTGGGACGTTCGGGGCCTCCGTGCGCGGCGCGCCGGTTCGGCGGCCCTCTCGTTTGTCCGGCGGGCCGGAAGGGCCCCAGAGCCACGGAAGGACACCTTCCAAGGCCCCCCCATTCGCACCTGAATGGACGACGCGCCGAAGGTGTTTGGGCCCCCCAAGAACGCTGAATGGACTGTAGCGCTTGCAGGTTCCTGGCCTCACGAGGCGTTTTCCAAAAGACTTGGCCAGTCATACAGTGGTTTCAGAGGTGAGTGGCATGGCACTGGCATCCCGTTCCATGTCTTAAACAAATGGGGGTCCATATACAGTAAGCCACCGACATTGGGGATGGTGCCATTTACTCTGAAGCCAGTGTAGAACTCATATCATGTCAGATCGATGTCATATCTCCCGTCAAAGCTCCTCCGGTGGTGATGCAGCCCTGCCCCTTCGAGCTAGCACACCTTTTCGATGCACATGACAGCTCCAACAAACATGGGCTTCACACTCAGCATTCCTTTTTGCAAAAAAAAACGTTGGTTCAAAGTACATGGCAACAACTTTGCTTTGTTTCTCCGCTGCCAGGGTTCACATGCAACAAGTATCTGGAATTCGATCTCCTTGATCAATCTGTCTGGGGAAGTGTGCCATCTACTGCATCTACAAAGGCACTCCATTAAGAAAACGCCGTGCCATACTGTATCTTCAATTCTCATCCCTTTTGATCCGTCCCTTTTGCTCCCCCATCCACCTCCACCACCGATCTTCTCTCTCCTCACTGGTCGCATCGCTTCGCAATGGGCAACGACCGACTCAGCCAGCACAGCGCTTCGAATCTGATCGGGGCCGCTCGCGGTTCGCGGAGCTCGGTCGACCCTCAGCGCGCCATGGGTCTCAGAAGGACGAGGACTCGGTGGGCACCGGTGTCGACGGCGCGGCGTGGCACTGGGAGTTCTCTTGGCGAATGAAAGCGGTGTTTTTTTCGCGTTTTGGGGGAGCAGGTGACACGGGGGGGCTGTGTGAACATCCGCTGAAAACGCGTCCGTTCTCAGGTCTAGTGTGCTGCGAGTTCACCTGGGAGTGACAAATACTGAGAATGTTCTTCTCTGCATCTATTTGGTGCACGCATTGCGAAACGCGAAACTCTTTGCCTCTCATTGGTCTCTTGCTTCTTTTCTTGGCAACGATCTTCAATCGCCAACGGCGCAAGCGCCGGGCTTGAACCGGGCCCGATCGTGCCATGCGACACGGCCACTTGGGGTGAAGACGCCAAAACCATCCCCAATGGTGGCGCCAAGGGATGGGTGCTCTCGACGAAAGGGTAAAAAGGCCATCCGTTCTGACAAACACTTCCACAATGGGCCACCCTCAACAAACACTTCTTGCAAGGGTGGAAAGCAAAAGTGGAGCGTCCCAAGATTCCCAAAGGATGGCCGACCATGGCTGCAGAGCGATGAAGGTCACCTCCATTCTGCAAAGATTGGCCAACAGAGACTCGGACTTAACTGCGCCAAAAGAGGGACATTAAATTGAAGTCGTGGTTAATGACTTTTTGTATTGTGGTTATATAAGTACATGGTTGTGTATTAAAATACGGAGACCTCCCAAAGGAATGCCTGGAAGAAGATAAATAGACCAAAATCCATTGGTTGGGTGTCTCCCTATTAAAATACACACCCGCATGCCTCTGACCAACAAGCTTTTGTGAGATGAGATCAGGACTAGCATGGACCAGCTATATATACCTAGAACCTGAGTGACCTCTATTTTGGACCACCAACCACCCAAAAGATGGCCAAGCTTCCTATCAAAACAGAGGTCAAATGGGTTCTAGGTATATATACATTATATAAACTTATTAAACCCACGCCGGTGTATTGGGGCGCCCCGGGCACCCGACGGTGTCCGGAAACGTCGTCCCGTCGACGCCCAATCCAGTTCGTTTCGCAAAGCCGACCGAAACCCGACAGTTCTTTCACCGAAAGATGGTGAAGTTCGTTGGTGAATGTTCTGAACGAACCACCCTCCTTTTCATCCTCCTGGAAACAGCCCCAAGACCAGCGAGCCTCGGTCGCACCGCCACGGACCTCCACGGCGTCCGCGGGGCGGACAGCCGGGTCGGTCGTTTTGGGAGGTGTGCTTTCCGTGCGCCCCCAGGTGGGTTGGAACAGTTGCCCATTGTCCAGATCCAGGACCCCCGCCCAACGCCGAAGCACTTCACGGAGGTACCGGGGTCCGGAGTACGCGCATCTCGAGGTGCCCCACGAGTGGAGTGGCTTTCGTGGCCAAGGCCATCGGTGCATGCGGTGCAGGGTAGATCCTTGTCATGTGTTTTTGGTGCATGGAGGGCTTGCTCCGGATGAAGAGTCAGAGCAGGTCTGGCGATGTCAATTGGCATAGTTCTCTTGTGTTTCTTCCCCATCCTGGCCATGTCTCCGGCCACACCATCCTGTCGTGCATCCGTCAAGTCACCGTCATGTTCCTCAAAGCTCCTGCTGGGACCTTCCGCTTTCACAGTCCAAGTGGAACAAATCCCGTCCCTGTCCACATCTGACACAACATCAGAATGCGAAAAACATATAGCGCTGGATGAACAATGAGTTGGTAGAAAGGGAACATCTGCAGGAAACCCCTGTTTCCTTCTGATATTGATGAGTCATGAGTACTCCTGAGTAGCTATAGATTCCTTCAAAGTTCCGAAGCCCTTCAGAAGCCATCAGCTGCCCATAGGCGGTGCCCCCATCAGGTCATAGGTGGTGCCTCTATAACATAGACCCTTGATTCGTAAACCCCTCCCCATTTGCATGTTCACCACCTCTTCAAAATGGGGTAGAGTCCAGTCTATTGAAAAATTTACAGGTGCACCACTCAAGTTGCTGCACCTCTTTCTCTTCTCCTTCTAAGAATTGAACAAACAATGGGTCTCCACGTCCACCGTCCCCGTCCACCGCTGCCGATCTCGCCCGAACCCCCAAGATCTCGCTCCCACCGCTCTCGCACCGACTCCACCGACCGCTGCCGATCCCTCCCGCCAGATCCAGTCTTCGCGCTCGCCCAGGTCACCTGCAGGGGCACACAGGAGGACGAGACGACTGGCGTGGCCAGGCGGCCAGGCGGCCAGGCGTTTGGCCTCTGCTTTCGCAAGGGGGAACCCGCCGGTCCCCGAAGGTCCCTTTTTCGGAGGTCCGTAAGGAGCTGCAAGTCTCCATCTATCTGGGCAACACGTTGAATCAGGTCCTTGGTTTCCGGTGTCGACGGTGTCCGGCTTCTGGGGGATTCACTTTTCAGATCTGTTTATCACCTGTTCTTTTCGCAGGGGCCGTACGTACACAAGCTCCAGCATTGGTGAAGAAAACTGTCTTTGAGTGTCTTCAATTGCACAGTTTGAGTGTGTTTGAGTGTCTTTGAGTGTCTTTGTGAGTGTTTTTTGCACAGTCTTGATATTGAACAAAGCGATGCCCCTCGTCCCTCCATTGACCTAGCATCACATCTGGAGACAGCCACCAAGCTTTGGGCTGCGCTTTGGGCTTCCCAAGAGTCGGACTGAACATGACTGAACATCTGGCCCCCTTTTCTCAAAGCCTGTCAATGTATTCCTGGCAATTTTGGGAGACTAGCCATACTCCAGCGGCACTGCAGTACTACGCCCCGCATTCCTCGAAACCCAGTATCTCAGATCGTGTACCTCCCAAATTGCAAACTAAAGCAACGCACAATCCCAACTTAGCTAGTTTGGATCTGTTTTCCAGATGGCTCCAGTCTGGTGGCGCCCGTGACGACATGAAAACTCATGTTGTCTCTGCGAGAAATGCCACCAGGTGGACTCTTCTTCTTCGGTCCACGTGGCTGAATTTGGAGCCTCAAAAACATCCACCGGCACGATTCACTCGAACAGAACCTCCACATGACCGGTCAGCTGCTGCATAGTCGCTCGTTCGACACCGATTTGTAACCTCGCAGGTGCAACCAGCATCCACACGGAATTGGTCCAAGGGAACCAGGTCACCATGATGTTCACCTTCAAAAAAATACACCGCTGGCTGAGGGTCTTCGTCCTTAGATGTTCCCCTCCACCCATGTTCCAAGCTCCACCCCCGCGCCGTCCTCCGCTCCGTCCTCGTCCCCCCACGCGCGCAGAGGCCGAACAGGGCGGGCCTAGGTAGATCCCGTCGCGGCTCCAGAGCTGTACCTGCAAGGGGAGTGACCGTCTCGCGCACCGGTGGAGTTGTTTGGGGAGGTGGTCCACATGGAAGCTCGTTTCCCAGTGCATGCTTGGACCTGGGAAGGCCAGGAAGGACCCTTTTTGGACCAAACGGTCTAACTATAGGTGATCACTGGTGATCCGTGTCCAGGAAGTTCACAGTGGGAGGTGCCCAAAGGTCGTTTCCTGGACTGCTAGGGCTCGCCTTCTTGCCGCTGCCGCCCAGGACAAAGTAGTCCCCGCCTAGGTTCGCCGCCCGTCAGACCGAACCTCACCTCTGGGCTCCAAGGGCCAGTCGCCCACGCTCCCTGAAACCATAGAAGTCTGAGGACACAAAGTCTAGAAGAGTGGTCTGCCATCCAGGGGCCATCCACATCACCATCTATGTGTCCCAGAAAAAGAAGAGGCCCGTTTGGCTTGGAGAGAACCACCATCCCACGCTGGTCCGGCTGAACTCCGGCTGGACCCTGTTCACTGGCTCCAAGCGGCTGGAGAAGAAGTCGATGCTACACACATCGAACTCCAAGCGATGCCTCAGTTCGAAGCGATGCCTCGGCATCGACGCCATCGACCCAAAGCGAGCGCCCGGGCATTCCAAAGCCTCAAACTTGGAAGGTTCGAAGGGTTTCAAAGGCCATCTGAAGGACGTCCTGACGGGTTTGGAGACCAGATCGAAATGGACCTAACATGAGCCTGACATCTGTTGGGGAAGACATGTCGCCTTGGCCAATGATCCGCTGAAAACCTCCAAGCCGCACCTGATTTGGTCTACAGCCATGTTTTCGGATCCACTGCCCCCTTTGCGGTTCAGTGCAGGGTCCCTTGGTACCGAAACGGATCAGGGTCCGGATCAGTGGTCCGGATGAGGGTCGACGTGGCAGTTGAAGTTCTTCGCTCACCAGGTCCAGGTGGCGGTCGACCTGCTGAGCCAGTCAAGGCCAGGGAAGAGTGCTGAGCGCCAGATCCGAGCGTCCGGGCTCACGACCGTATTCTTGCCCCGAGACCTGTCGAGCAGCTCGGGCAGCAAGGCAAAATAGAACTCGATGAGACATGATGAGACATGGTAAGGGTTACATGAGATGTGTATGAGACCCTGGATCTGGTTTCGTAGTGCCAAATCCGATCCGGGGGAAAGCCGCCGAACGCTCGACCGACACCTGGTGGGGACCCATGCCACGGCCACGACTCGGACACACAGCGATGACCTGTGAGGTGTTCCTTCAAGTGTTTCACCCGCGTTTCGCGCGAAGAAATCCCTCTCCTTCGCACCCATGTAGACTCTTGATTCTAGTAAAAAAATAACAATTGAATCCAATTAAAAGGGTGGCTGTATTTTGCTCTCTTAATCCAGAGTCTACATGAAGCTCTCCGCTCCCCACCCGCTGCCCCCAGCCACACCAGGATTTTGTCTGGTCGGTCCGCGGACCCGCCCGGCCACGTCCGACTGTCCGTCGGTGTCGCCTTGTAGAAGGAGAGGGTCTGATCCCAACAGCCAACCACCAGAACGTCCGTGGGGTCTTGCTTGGTCTGGACCGGATTCCACCTGATCGTCGTGCAGAAGCGGTTCCGCGGAAGCGGTTCCGCGGAAGCGGTTCCGCGGAAGCGGAAGTGGATTTGTTTGGTCAAGTGGAAGGGGATGGCGTGGAAAGGGAAGCGGAATCCGATTGGGATGGAATTGGTTTTCAAATGAAAGGTCACGATTAGAGCTTAGTTGTTTTGCTTGGGGCTGGATAAAGTGGTCTATGTTCACTTGCCTATACTTGCCTGATGCCTTTCATAATTAGTCACCTGCCTCCCTGATGAACTGCTTTGATTTCACACCCTGTCACGGGAGGAATCATAAGAACTTCCTGGCCCAGAAGTGTGGTCCGGCAGCCTGTGCTCGGATAGAAAGGGGACTCGGATAGTGGGGCCTTCCGCTCTCTCTCACACTCCCTCTCCTCAGGGACGTCCCTGGAGGCGGGAGTGGCCTTGGGTCTACCCGTGACCTTTTGGGGGGCGTGACCTTCGCGCTACGCGAAGTAGAAAGAACTCGGGTTCACCATTTCCGCCGGTGCAGCACAGCCGGTTCACCACAGTTTCCACTACTTCGCTGGGCAGCCGGGCGCCAGGGTCCAAATCGGCGCCTGCCGGACGATATCCGCCTTCTCCTGGGCGAGGGGAGGGACTCCGAGGGACTCCGGGGGGGACCTACGGACCGCGGTGCGGGACGGTCTGGCAGATCAAACACCACCGTGTTTGACGCCAGCATCAGGCATCAGGCATCAGGCTGCATGGCTCGAAGAAGGGCAGTTGGGTGAGCAGTGGTGTCTGATTCATGGTGCTCTTTTAAGAAGAGCAGCTAGGTGAGCAGTCATAGGCTTCAGACATGCCGGCCCAGCCTCTCCGAACTTGTCTCGGATGCTGATGTGGCCTCAACACCCGAGACAAGAACAAAGGAATAAAAAAGGTGCTTCTGGTCGAACATAAGATGCTGGTAAGGCTGGTAAGGAAACCATGTTCAGGGCCCAAAGAGCTTCACCAACGATGTCCAACCAAGGATGCGAACCTGGAGAAAGAAGACCCACATGGAGCAAATCGGAACGACACACCAAAATACGAAGCAACTTCGAAACCAAGACCAACACCGTGGTCCTCGAACTTGGCTTCGCAAAGCCCTCCGAACATCTCTCAGATCTCTCTCTCTCTCCGCTCTGTCCGCGCCGAGCCGAGGCGCCGCTGAAGAGGCCCAAGGCGATGTGAAGACCATCGTTCGTCCAGGACATTGCCAGGATCTTGGAATTCACCTGCGCAAGAGAACACAGCGTGGCGCAGCGTGGCGAAGCGTGGCGCAGCGTGGTGGTTCCAACCTTCGGCATCGGCGTCCGTGTCTTTCGGCCAGGGCGGTGTCTTTTTGTGAGATTTAGGTCTAGGTCTAAGCCTTTAGAGTCTTAGAGGCTGGAGCCAGGAGGACCTCGAGGAAGAAGCATGGACATCTCCTGGATGGAGCCAAGGGCACGTCTGGCCTGGCTGCCTAGCTGATGAGATAGGAACCTGCACAGACCTTGTGGATGTGCGGAAGCAAGAGCTCCGCCTTAAGACTTAAGAAGCTGCTAATATGTAGTACAGCATATATTTATATATTTATATAGAGAATCCAAAATCCAATTGAATCCAACCAATCAGCCCCGTCTTCACTGGTGTGCTCCTCCGTGGGAATGGTACTTCTCCCCCTTTCGACCATCCCACGCTCCCTCGCACACTCCTCAAAACACGCCCTCCCGCCACCCAAAACACCAACCGAACCTCGAATCTCTTCAAATCTCCCAAACCACTTTGCCAAAATGGCAGCCAAATCCAATCAAACCCCACTGCTCTCTCTCTTCTCTCAGGATCGAACTCCATCCCCACGAACCTTCCCGCACTTCACCGCCCCTCCGACTTCACCACGAACTCCACCGAGCGCCTTGCGCTTGGAGACCGACTTCTGCTCCGGCGACCAGAGCCCCAGGTCCGACGCCGTGCCGCTCGCCAACTGCGGCGCGGTGCTCGTCGGCGAGGGGCGGGTGGGGTCGGGAGTCCGGGGGGTCGCAGCGGGGCGGTGCTGCACGGAGGACCGGCGTGGGTCCCACTTTCTTTAAGTCTTTGGGCTTTTAGGAAGATGATGATGATGATGATGATGATGGTGATGATGATGATGATGATGGTGATTATGATGATGACCTAAGAACCTGAATCGACCCCCTGTTTTGGAGCCAAAAACAAAAGCCTTTTTCTCCGATCAAGACAGAGGTCAAATGGGTTCTAGGTATCTGATGATTATTAATGGTCTGTAGATGTTTGTAGATATCATTAAATATTGTCGCTTGTGTGGCTCGCTTTTTTCATCTGTAAAGAATTGCCCAGAATTGGCTCTGCCTACCATGACTTCGACCGTGCCCACGGAGACACGGTGCCGACCACGGCCCGCCGTCCAAAACTTTGGAAGGGCCCATGGTGAGAACGGCAAGCCGGTCGATGGAAGCCACACCCTTGGTGGTATGCCAAGGAATGCATGAAGAAACGCTGGCAAACAGCTTCTGAAACCCTATGTGCTTAATGCAGCCCGAAGGTTCTTTGAAGGCTATCCAAAGAAGTCGGCTTTCGCCTCATGACCGCAGTACTCACTACTCCAGACTCGCCACCGCCGCCGGCCCGTCTCCGCCCCATCTCCGCCCCATATCCGTCTCTGGGGCCTGTTGGGTCACGGGGTTGTAGGCTAAACACTGGATGGACCTCACCAAGTGCGCTGGCGCGCTGGCGCGCGAGCACGAGCCCAGCACGACACCATGCGACAGAGCGAAAGGAAACGAAGGGAACATGAGTTGCAGGTGCTGAAAAGACTTTAGATGTGCGACCTCGCATTCTCCAGTCACGTATGCTGTTTTTGTGGCCAGCCACAGCGGAAACAGTGTTTGTCTTCTAACAAGCAACTCGACTCGACTTGAGTCATTCAAACTCTCCCTTGAAGCAGTGCGGGGCCCAAGCTCATTGTGGTTGTACTTGAGGATGCCCTCGGCCTGCGCGTGGTGCGCGTGGTGCGCGCGTGGCGCACGTGGCACGAGCAGCGTGCCGTGCCAGCTTGGCAGAGCCCGGGCACCCTCCAGTGGTGCCTTCCCCAGAACCCAACGCAGCCAAAAAGAGCAGCTAGACAGGATAGGCGAGCTACAGTAGATAGCATGAAAGACTGGTGGCGCTTTGGTGGCCCATGTCCTTTTTGCGAGTGCCTAAACTGCAGCTTCACGCACGACACGAATTCTCTTCATGTGGCTGAAAAAAGAAAGCAAACACGTCTGCCCAATTGCATTTTTGCCCACAGCTGCGCCCTTTTCGCGCCTTATGAGTCCAAATAATGACCTGCTTGTCCGCGCCGCCCGAGGCAAACCTGAGTGGGGCGTGCGGAACAGCGCAGCGTGCGCGATTCCTTCGGGCTTGTTTACATGTCGCTGCATCCGCCGCACAAAATCTGTGTCCTTTTTTCCGGTGGACATGGAGTACGGAGTGCCAAGCCCCTCAGCTTGGCGCTGCCCCCCCAATGACCCTCCTGGTGCAGATTTAAGCACCCAGCTCTTCAAACCACGAGCTGAACAGATCGGCATTCTTTACAAGGTAACTCAGGGGCACTCTTCCACTTGCTCTGCCACTCATCCTTGTAGTACTGCACGAAGTCCGACAAGCTGTACACCTTGCCATCTTCCGCCAAACGCTGTTGAGTGGCCGTCGTCGCGGCATGCCATTGCTGCTCCCAGGAGCTGGCGAAGTAGATGCGGAATTCACTGGCCGTGTAGGCCTTGCCATCTGGCGCGATCTTCTTTTCCAGGACTCCATTCGCCCACTCCTTCTTGTAATCAGCATGGTAGTAATCTTGGAACTCCTTGGCATTGTAGATCGATCCGTCCTTGGCATAGCGCCTCGCCTCCCCATTCAGGTTGGCGCGGATCGCCGAATCACTGGCCTGATCCAGGCGCTGCTGGGTGCTGCCCTGGGCGGCCCGGAAGGAGTTCAGCAGGCCTACTGGGTCGCAGCCCAGCTTGCCCAGCTCCAAGCTCTTCGCTTGAGCCTCCGACTTCATCAGGTTGACTCCCTGGCTCGACCAGAGGTTCTTATAGAGCTCCAGGACCTGAATCGGCTCGGCATAGGCCTTCACCAGCTCAATGCTACGGCTCTGGGCATCACTCTTCATGAGGTCGACTCCACTATTGCTCCACAAGGTCTTGAACATGGAGCTGAGCGCCTGGGGGTCCACGTGCTGCTTGGCCAGATCAAAAATCAGCTCCCTCACGCGGCCCATGGGCAGATCCAAAGATGATGTCTGATACATGGTATCCTTCAAGTCTTTGAGATTCTGGACGCTCACGCCGCACTGCGTCAGCACGGGCGCCTGCTTCGCAGCCACCTGCTGCGCCTCCGAAGTCATCAAGTTTAAGCCAGTGGAGGAGGCGGCCCACTGGGCAAGCTCATTCTGATCAATGGCAACTCCAAGGCTTACGAGGCTCAAGAAGCTCAACAGCACAAGCCTTAACGACGCCATGGATGGTTTCTTCCCGCAAAAAAAACACAGAAATCCACTCAAGAAACTCTGAGTTGTGGCAAGCTAGAGCCGTTCGGAGCAAGTCCGGGCCGAAACGCACGCAACCGTCCGAGTATGAATTGATCAAGCGGCTTTTTCAGCTTCAGCTAGGTTTGGTCTGTTCAACCGCCCTGTTTCGTGGTTCCAACACCAAACGTGCGAAAAAGGGATTAGAAAAGGAAGGCAGCGAGCAAAAAGCCCTTACCGGGTCGGTGTTCGGTGTGACACGCTCAGCAAACCAAGAGGATCCGCTGCTCCCTCCTGAGCAGCCAACTTCTTGCCGTGCCGGGAGTATGCTACACAGAAGACGCTTTCCTGGACCGGCGCAGGGCGTGGAACTGGAGACCCACGTGGGGTTCTGAAGCCCCATGCCGCCATGAAGCATGATGAAGCCTGAGACATGCTGAGTCTCGACCTACCTCAAAGAAACATGGCAACAAGTGGGAGGAAGGAAATGGAAGGAAGGCAGAGGGAGAGAGGGAGGCGCCCCCCAGTGGGCCACCTGGGCACTCTCAAAGTGTCCAACGGGCTCGACTCGACTCCAAAGCCAGCGACTCAATGCAACTCCAAAAAACAGACGTCCCCATCGATCCCCTATAGTCAGACTGAACCAAAAACACCCACCCACCAAAACAGCTCCAAAGCATGCTTTCTGCACCCCCCCCCACGATCGTTTTCGGCTCCACAAAAGAGTAGAGTCGTCACGTGACCGTGGACCATGGCACGATATAGCACCCTTTTCCAAAACCTTCAGCCATAAATGAACAGATTCCTCCCAAACATTTGGGGTGTCAACCTTCCCTGGTTTGCTGAGGGAGGGTGCCACGACCTAGGCTGGTAGCAGGTGCCGGGCAGGTGCTTTGTTCTTTTCGTGCTTGGCTCATGGTTTGGCTCCTTGTGGCCCTTCAGCGAGTGCACCAGGTCTCCATCCGTGGCATCATAGACCAAGACCCGGTTCCCGGCCTCGACGAGGCCGAGATCGGGGCGACCCAGGTCGCCGGTGAAGAAGGGGGAAAAGAACAGAACATAGCGAAAAGCAAAAAATGACGCCGAAGTCGACCTGAAAACCCCCGGCTTCTTCATGTGTGGCTCTGATATTATTTATATATATATATATAAATAGTATATATTGTTTAAACAAAATAGTTCTTCGTGTTCACGGTGCTGAAATCGCTCCCTCTCACGGTGCTGAAGCGCCCCCACCGCCACGATGATCTGCGTGCCGTCGGGCTTGAAGGCGATGCCTCGGGAGCGGTGCTGTGCGCGGCGGTGCGCGGCTGTGCGCGCGAGGGGGGGGTGGTGTGAACAGAGACAAGCAGATGATCCGACCCATTAGACCCAAAACATGGGACTGAAATAGGTTGAGATATATAAAACGACCCCAAGAAATGATGGTCTGGGAATGATTCCCAGACCATGAAAGGTCCATACATGGATGGTCTGGGAGATGTGTTTGATGTGTGTGTGTGTGTTCTTTTTAGCTTTTATTCTGTTTTATTGTTTCTCATAGACTCACAGATGTGTTTTCTCGGGTACCAAAAAATGAATCTGAACAGAAAATCATAGTGCAATTGCTTCGTCGGGGGTTCTCTTGGGTTCTTCACCGACTTGCGGGCTTGGCACAAAAAAGAGGACCTCCCATGATCAAAAGGACCTCCCGCACAAAATGCCAGAAATTTGCATTGATTTGGGGTGCAAAGCAAACCCCCCGTGTTTTTGCACTGCTGATGGGTCTGTGACAGGTGGCTTGGTCTTGTTTTCGCTAGGAAAACTCCTGGAACTGAAGGCATGTCCCTGCAGCACGTCCGCAGTTCGCCCAGCTGCTCCAGATGCTGTTGCTCCATTTCTCCCTCTCTGGGACCTGAAGCCAACAGCATGTTGCGATGTGTTGCGGACGGGAAAAAGCTGGGCAGCCAAAGTACCTGACAAACCCTTGGATTTGAATTGGGTGCCAGTGATTGCAACAGGACCCTTGAGACGCTGGAGCGGAGGGAGCATTTGACGAGCAACCACCTTGACACAAATGAAAACCCCTTTGCTCCTTGCTCCACCAAGATCTGAGGCTCCAGTGGCGACAAACTTGGGAGACAAGCCGTTGAACTGGACAAGGCACGGAAATCTGCCCTCCGCTCCCCCAACCGACGGGGGGCCCGCTGCGGGTCCCGCAGAGAACCGCAGGGGGTCTCCGCGCGCTCAAGGAAACCATGCGCATCCGGCCAAACCACTTGACCAGGCCTTATCCTGCCAGAGGGTGACGGTGCGCATCACCTGAAGTCCACCACCCGCCGAAAAGACGTGGTCGCGGTAGCGGTGTTCGAACGAAGAGAATCCGATGGTTGGGGATGGACCTGAAGCGAGATGGTTGGGCACCAGTTCACCCCATCTTGGGGAACTTCAACAACAATCGCCTGTGGAATCAACCTGCATGGAGAGTGCGCCGCATAGTAGTTGATCTCAATATCATTTAGGAATTGAATGCCTCGAGGCCCACAAATAGAGAGAGCTTCTCCGTTTTAGGTAAGTGTGAAAGCTTCTTTGTAGTCTGCTTCTAGATTCTGCACATTCCAAGTGGCGATTTGGTGCATCAGCAACAGGCATCGCAAGATTGATGGGTTCAAACGCCACAAATCCATTAACCCATTTCTATGACATTCTACCAGGAACCATTCTCTTCTTCATAAGTCTTGTCAGCTCCTACCCAAAAACGGTCTGAAAACTGGATGGTCTGCTGGACATCAACTTGAAGTCTCCAAAACAGCGGCCCGGCCCGCTTGGCCCGCTTGCCCCCCCCCTCTCCACTCCCACTTCGCTACTTCGTCGCAGACTGCGGGACTCGGGACTCCCCACCAAGGCCCCAAGCGCCCGGCGACCGCCTTCCGCCTCTCTGGCCCCTAACTAAAGGCGCCTTGGGAGTCCCCCACCGGAGCCGGAGCCGGAGCCGGAGCGGAGCGTTCAAGCGGCGTGCAGCGGGCCGTTCAGCCAGATCCGCGGATCGGGGGGGAGACCGGGGGAGATCCGGACGGCCGGACGGGGGAAGGGAGTGAAGAGCACCATGCTGCAAGGACCCCCAAAGCAATTGGGGGGATTTCTGGGGATTTCTGGGGTTGCAGTTGCAATTGGGGTTTCTGTTCGTTGGTTTTTTATGTTTGTTCATAGTGTTCTTATTGTGCGACAGGTGTAGTCAAAGTGGGCGATGCAGCCCACTTAGGCCTTGCGGCGTCGTGCAGCTGGTGTTGCATCTGCGAGGCCCACCGCGTCAGACGTGTCGGGACTCGATGTCAGAGTGAACAAATGTTGTCGTTGTCATGAAACCACAAAGACCGCACAATTTCAAGAAACTCGTCCAAATCCAAGACCCCCTCACCCGTGCGTCCACCGACATCCATTGATCACACTGCCCCAAAGAACCAAAAAGACATGTCAAGTTCACTGACCACACCTCCATCTCACACCTCCTCATGCACCTCCTGCACCTCCTACCCCACGGACCTCACCTCCATCTTTCAACACTCCCATCCATCCAAAAGTGGCGCACTTCTGCTGATGTAGCTTCACCTGCTGGACCAAGTGCACACTACCGGCAGCGCCGCCGGTGCCGCTCCTCAAGTCGAAGACCCGAAGGCATCCGTCGTGGCACCCCGTCAGGAGCCCGTGCGCCTCAGCACATCTTCGTGGAGGCGAAGGGGCTCGGGAACAAGGTTCGCTACGCACGGGGCTCCTGGCATCGCGACGAACGGAGCGTTCGGACGCTACGAACGGGCTTACTGGGGGCTCCTGGCCGAATACTACGAGCAAGGGGGGGAACCGAAAATGATTCTTTTCTTTAACCATCCTCCAAAAGCCACCGAAAGGCACCGTGTTCACGGCACCGGCCACCGAACGAAGGGGCCCGGAAACCCACCGAACGGTTTCACCACAGCGGCCCCGGTGGTTCGTGTCCAGCCGTCGCCCCGGACGTTTCGGTTCGGATCTCCAAAAGCGTTTTGGCCGAGGGCACATTGCTGGGATCCAATGCCAGGGAGGTCACCGTCTCAGGATGATCCACGTGGCAGATGAACCTCCGGCGATCTTGGAAGGGAGGGGAGTGCTGATGGGAGGGCTGATGGGCTGATGGGCCTCCCCAGAGAGGTTTAGGAGCATGAAATCCGAAGACCAAACAGGTGAGTTGAGCCATGATTCTGTCAGGGACGTGTAGATATGTGTATACATCTGCATGTGTAGATGGTTTTCCAGCAGGTTCCTGCTAAAAAGATGTCCCACGAAATTCATGAATCTATGAAAGTCCAAAGTCTAAAGATGTCTAGAGTCTGAGGGTTTTCTGTCTGAAGCAAACGCACCTGATTCATTTGATTGGCATCCCCATTCTGCGACCCCCGCCCCGTTCGCCTCCCAGCAGAGAGGTCTAGAAGCCGCACGTGACCATCCTCGAGAATCGGACGTCCCCGAGCTAACACGCTGGGCTGAGATCTTCGGTGCGTGTATATATGAAAATAGGGAGACCTTCCAAAGAACCCCTGGAAGAAGGGAAATAGAGCAGTCTACCCACTGGGTTTAAGGGAGTCCCTGTATTAAAATACACATCCATGTGGATGCCAAGTGCTTTCAGGTGGTGTCTGGACCTGTCATATAGGGCGGGGCCCTGTCACCAGCCGTCGGGGCCTGGCGCCGTCCGCAGGACGTTCAGGCTGTGAAGCACCGAGGCGTACCTTTTCTCATCTGCCAGTCCACCGCAATCTCTTCGAAAACCTAGTCCCCGAAGTGGTTTGAGAAAAGATCTACAGGAAACCATGATTTTCACCCTCCAAACTATAGATGGGTTTGCAGTTTGCAGATGTTCTCTTAAACCACTTGGCCAAGAATGTCTTCTTTGCACTTGGCTCAAGCCATGCCCACAAGACCATCCGGTCTTACACAAGTGTCGTCCCTCTGCCCCCGGACCGCGCGCCCCAAACACCCTCTGCCTCCATCCCCGCCTTTTGCTGCTCCTTCCCCCCCCCCCCACCCCCACCCTCCCCCCTCCGGAAACCTCAGGCGACTCAGCGCCCCGGACCGCGAAGGAGGCCGCCATCAGGCGACTCAGCGGCTGCGCGGCGGCACACGTGGCCTTCGCGAGGGCGGCTCCACGCCGCAAGAGCGGCTCTGCTCGAGCAAGGGGAAAGAAGCTACCAGTAGCTCCTTGCTACTAGTAATGGCCTCCACCCTGATAGCGATGGCCTCCAATCTAGTAGTAGTAGCTTCTTCTTAGCTAGGAAAGAGGAAGAAAAAAACATGTTGCCTGGGGAAGACCTAAAGGAACACGTGGGTGTTCGACGGGAATGCATCCGGGGTGTCGAGCTGGTGGCACCAAAGTCGGAGACAGCTGGACCATAACAGAATGCCATGAGGCGGAAGAAGAGAAAAGGAAAACACATGACATGTGGCTTGGGGGAGACCCCCTATTCTGTTTTACATGGATTTACCTCTTGGGTGGGGGGGAACGATTCCAGTGGGTTTCGGTTCAGAGCTCCAAAGGCCTTCCCGGGCCCCCGACTCCGGCGTAGATGCCTCGGCGGCACATGGGATTCCCACGAAGGCTGGGCAGAAAGAACCTCGCTCATGAGCCCTTATGTGGAGATACTGCTATAGTTGTTGATCTTAGTTGATCTTCACCAGTTCATTGCATTCATGCTTTGGATCTTGGAACTTTCAATTGAATAGATCCAACCGTGAATCCATCCATCGCTCGATCCATCAATATTATAATCAATCCATTAGCTCCTCAGGCTTTGGACATGTTCCTCTTCCAAGCTGAAGATCATCCTATCGAGTCGTTTCAGTCTGTCCAAGCATTCACACTTAATACCCATCATATCCCATCCCAAACACGGCCCCCACCCCACCCCCGAACCCTCCAAAGGCCCGAACCGCAGTACCTCCCCTCCCCTCCGGCCTTGCGCCCGCTCCGCCGGGGTCTTCAGATCCATCACCTCCCGAGCTCGGTCCGCGGCGGTGCCGCCAACCGCGGTGCCGGTGCCGCGGCGGTTCCGCGGCGGTGCCCCCCGGACGGTCAACACGAAGCGGTGGTCGGCTTCGGGAAGGAAGAAGGTGCTATCCTCTTATACATCTTGTTGGAAGGTGGGTTAGGAGTACTGGCGCACCTGGGAACCTCGTAACAATCTTTGTAGTTATGGCATAGTATGGAAAAACGGACGGGATCAAAAAGGCAGCACCACATCCCACAGGAAAACAGGCGCCCACAAGCTGCTTGTGGGCGGCCGCCGGCCGCAGGATGACAGAAAAGGCTATCCATGGGAAAGCCATGGGAAAGTCACAGGATCTTCCAACTATGCCAAATGTCCGACCTTTGGCTGGTTTTATATGGTTTTATATATATATATATATATATTATATATATGTTTGTTTTAGTGAAAGAACAGAATTTTTGTGGCATCGTGGGAGGCTCCAGGTATGGACCTGAGCCTCTGGTGCCGCTGAAGCGGCCCGGGCGCGGTTCCGCCGAACTCGGCTATCGTCGCATGAGTCGGTCGTAGTGGGTGCGTTCGGCTTTCCGATTCCCTCCTGAAACCGAGACGGCTCGAACCCCCAGGAGATCAACCCGAACAAAAGGGCGTAGTGGTTGGGCGAGTTTTTTTTGGGATTTGAACCCAGGATATAAAAGGATTCCCCTCACGTACCAGCACCTTCCAACAGGTCTCCTTTGGAGGGTTGTTAGGCCCTAACAGGTTTCAATTGGTGACCTGTTGGAGGTGCTGGTATGAGAAGCCTGATGCACCTGGAGCGAACTCGCTTTTTTTGGCGACGGCCGTGGTTGGCCAAGAGTAGTTCGTCAATGAGATCGGTGCTTTTTTTGTGTTGTGTTTAAATAGCTTGCTTTATAATTTATAGTCGATTGAATATGGCAAGCTTCAAAAACTCTCCGAAACCTTACCATGTTCATCCATGTTCCTATTCTTGCATCCGATTGCGCCTAGCCCGCATTTACGTCGCCCGCACGCAGTCCCAACGACGCCGAAACGATGATCCCCCAAAGCAGACCGGATGAACACGGTGACCATGGACCGAAACGAACCACGGAACCGTGGAATGAATCGAACCACGGCCATCCTTCGGACCGGGGTCCATCCCCCACCGTCCCCGGGGTCCGGCCCGGCCGTCGTGCCGTGACGCACGTCGAAGACCGCCATCCTGGACCCGGGCGCCGCTGGTTGAGGCTGGTTGAGGCTGGCAGTGTGGAGGTTTGGATCACCCAAACACTCGCAGTGGGGACTGGAAACCAAGGGCCTCCAAGGGCCTCCAATATGCAGATCAACATCTGCCATCGAAAGCACCATCAGAAGTCGCTGGGAGGAGCCTTGCGACCAGGCTGGCCCGCCCGAGGACGCACTGGCACTGGGCTTCCGGAGACACCTCCACCTACTCCACCTGGAATGAACCGCATGGACCTGCGGGGGGTGGAGCCGAACGGCCGCTCGGCCGTGACGGGCCGAGCCGGAGCGTCCGCGTGCGCCGCGTGCGTCGCGTCCTCGAGGAGGTGTAGCCGGCCAGAAGTTGGGAGGTCTGCGAAGGCACCTCGTAGGAAGAGGTGTTGCAATCCAAATGGAGGCGGGGGTTAGTCTACATCATGTACGTAGCCGGAAATGTAGACTGCATGG